ACAACACGGCGGTGCAGGAGACGACGCAGATATCTCCATACTAATTGGTCTACGGAAGGAGCCCGGCAACGACGCTCGATAGCAATTATGTGGACACTCTCGGCTGAATTTTGCCGCCGGTGTCGCCGTCACCCACCGTATACGTATAAGTATGTATATATGTGAACACGCAAGAAAAAAGAATCCAGAAAAAGACTCCGGTGCGCAGAATCGAATTCGGGACCCCTAAGACGTGAGTGCGAAGCGTTAACCACTGAACCACGGAGAAGCATGTCCCTCACCGTTCAAACGGCAAGCTATTAGGGGCGAAGCTCCTTAAGGCGAGGGCTGTGCGTCCCCTGTATGTAGCCACCTCTCGTTTAGTTCTTGAAGTGTTCACTAGATTGGTGGTACTTGTAGCTGCTGATGAAAAGACGCAAAATGTTATAAACTAGACGCCGGTACTTGTTGTTGGTGATGGAAGATGTGAGATGTTATAAAATAAGAATCATGTCACATACGGCGCGTGTCATTGGTGGAAGGCAAACGTTCGATTTAGTGCGGCGACGTACGCTAGGGAGAGCGTTGCAATAAAATCGAGTGGGCAAAATGTACGGAGGATTCATGATTTACCAGGTTTACCTCCTGAACTTCGCCCACTCATCATCATTCACTTCGTGGATAAGGCGTCACTTTTTTTATATATACCACTCACCGCTGGTGACGGGCATCTCTGGGCGGGGGGAGGCATTCTGTTTTCAGCATTACCTGCAAGATGGCGCATTAAGCGCGCGTCGTCACAACGTCGCGACGCGGCGGCGCGCGCTCTCATCTCCCACGCGTACTTTGCCCCGCGAAGAGGAGGGGGGTCCACTCGCGCGCCCTTATCTCGCATTGGGGAGGATCGTACGCTTTGGCTGGCCTTGGATTTTCACCGGAACGATTCTGTTGGTTACCGGGTGCACAAAGGTCACTGCAATCGTGGCACAGTCTCCGTTTGCGGAAAGGGCGCGCTTTTCAGACACAGCGAAGTAACAACTGAGACGCTTATTCGCGTAAATCTGTACCTGTGAGTATGTTTCGTGCGTCATTTGTGCGCAAGAAACGCAGGGAACGTTTCGATCGGCTTGCAATTCTTCGCGTCACCTTCCAATTTGTTGCTATCGCGTTCATCGCTTCGCCTTCGCGGCAAAGCTGTCACTTTTTTTTTTTCTTCGTCGTTCTCAGGTGTGCCTGCTTCGTTAAGCTATGCACCATACAATTCGCCAAGATGTTACGCTCTGTTAACCTAATCTACGCGATGCACAAAACGCGTCACCGCTCAATTAGAGCACGCAACGTTGTTTGTCGGAGGCCAATACGCTCCCTTTGAGTTGACACACAATGTTGACCAGGTAAACATGCTTCGACGTGGAGCGTCCGTCTTTTCCCCTCCGTCCCGTACCCTTTCCAGCTGGTGTCCTTGGCGCACGCGGCGCATCTGGCCTGGCGCACGCCGCAAAAGCAGCGGCGGCGGCGCGGCAGACAATAGCGAAATAAGCCTTACGACGTGCACATCCCGTCAACGTGCCCATGACAAAAGAGCGCGCGGCTACGACTGCTGTGAATCGTCATGGCATTCGCGAGCGATGCTGACTACAGCGAGTCGTATACACATACGTGTTTGCGCAGACGTATTGGCATATCGAAGCGTCGAATGTTGAGCCACTACACTTCATTTGTTGTAGCGAGTTGGATATTCGAGCGAACTTCCGTCCAGGCCGGAGTACACTTTGTTTAGACTGATCGTCGAAATGATTAAAGTAAGAGCCTTAGATGAAACGTGAAAATTGGCCGTCGGCGTTAACACGAGTGACGCAAAGAATCGTCGTTACGCGATGACGCCACTGTGACGTCACGCATGCGACGTAACGGTGACGTTGTCGCTTGTTCAACGATTTAAGTGGGGGGGGGGGGGGTCTCAACAACGGTCAACGGTGTTGGTGGTCTTAACCCTTTTACCTCCCCTCCTCCTTCCCCTCACACACACAGCACGAAATTTTTCGATTCTGCGTGTGCATGATTGACGCAAATTACAAATGCATGCCCAATCTCTCTCCCCCCCCCCCCTCCGAAAAAATTTTTGGCTACGCTACTGGTGCGCATACCTCAGCAGGTTTAATTAGTGGCATCATTTTGTGCTTTAGACATGCAGTCTAATGGTGCAGTGAGCCTTGCAAAAACAACCTTCCAAATTTCGATCTCAAGAACGACCCATTTATGTTGTGTACTTCATTCTCAAGTCCTGGAGCAACAGTTAGTCTGGCTTTGCTACTCATCCCTCCCCCTCCCTGCTCCACATATACCTCCCAGGCTATAGTGGAAAACCTGTACGCCTACCGGTAATAAAGCGTGGCACGTATTCCTCCGGTTCGTTAAATGCTATAATTTCATTTCGAAGAACCAAGTGATGTACTCGTGACTACTGCACTATATACAGAATACACGTATTACGCTTCGTCACGTCCAGTACTTTTCCTCTCGAAACAGCTGTCCCGTTGCATTTGCTTCATTTTCTCGCAGTATCAAGGTCACTTTGACAAAGGTTGCGAATGCAGCCAAATGTATTTTTTTTCTTCTTATTAATCTGGCTCTGTACTCAAGTAACGCTTTGTACTCGTACTCAGGACACGCCCAGACGGGAGAAATCAATGTACCTGTTCGCAAGGTCACTTGCAAGCTCTGTTGTGACGTGCCGCTTGTAGCATGATTAGACGCACGCAACTTTCCGAGCCATTAGCAATTAACGAAGTCGGCGCAAAGTCGTGGATGCGAATGGGAGAGCGAGAGATGAAAGCATTTCGGCGCGAAATTAAAGGTCATCATTTAATGGTGCCTTCTGATGGAACCTTCAGCTCATACAATCAGGACACCCAGGATGATCTGCCTTATCTAGCTTAAACGTAACGTTTCCCTTTATTTATTTATTTATTTATTTATTTATTTCTATACTTTCTGTTTCTATTTTTTTCTTCTTTTAAGAATAGACGCTTTAATGGCCTCTCGTCTCTCTCTATCTACCAGTAGAGGTATATATACCTTAGCGTGTGATGCCGAGTTATATTAGGCTAGAGGGAGTCTGTTCGAATCCCGGTCACGGCGGCCGCCATTCGATGGGGCGAAATGCAATTAAGGTCGTCATCATCATCACCACAGTAAGCTAATGTGTCGTCTACTACTCGGCCAATCCCCTGCAATGGGTATGAGCCACGAGTTGAGGAAAAGCAGCGACTTACGAAACTCTGGTGCTTCGGATCTGGGCTTCAGCCTTTGATGCCGTCACCTTCGAGAAACAAAACGAATGTGACCTTGAATTCCTGCTTGTATATGGGTTATTATAGCATGAATAAACAAATTCAAAACATAAATTTAATTTTTTTCAATAGTACTGTAGCCTATAATAATAATTCGCGGAGTTTAACGTCCCGAAACCATGACGTGATTGTGAGAGATGCCGTAGTGGAGAGCTCCGGAAACGTGCACACAAATTCTTAAGTACACGGGCCTTCAGCATTTTCGCCTCCATCGAAAATGCGGCCAGGATTAGATCTCGCGACCTGCGGGCCAGCAGCTGGGTGCCTTAGCCACTATATAGACCACAGTGGCGGTATTGTAGATATTGACCACACTGGGTGGTCGGAATGGTTGAAAATAAAAACAAAATTATTGCGTTCTCTGATTTTAAGTGCGTTCCTTCTTCTGTTTGTCGGTGTAATTTAATACTAGAAAGGTCTAACTATTGATATACCCGATTCTCGGCCAATCCCCCTTGAGCGGGTATGACCCATTATTGAGGCATCACCATCATCGCGACTTTTTCGAGGTCGGTGTGCGTAGTAGTCGCACTTACGTAACCAAAGTGTTCGTGTTAGTCGGACGTAGTCGACTCTTACGTAATCGTCTTTGACTGCTATACAAACGATCCCGTGTAGGAGCTGTATAAAATCAGAGGGCTATAGCTTGGATATGGTGTCCGGAATGTCACCCACCTGCACGAGATACGCGTACATTGACTACACGACTTTCTCATGCAGGAAGGTTGTTATGCAGATGCGGTTGACAGCGTGACATTTTCCCGGGTGCCATTGTGTGAAGGTCGTCACGTGGTGTAACTCCCGCAGCGCCGACACGATGTCGTCGCTTACTTTCTAAGCCAACTGAAACGTGTTACAACGCCTTGATGCTCGTTTAATTAACATTTCTGCTAGCAGCAGAACACTGTTGAACCTCGTTATAACGAACACTGAAATGGCGGATTATCGGTTATAGCGAAACGAAACTTTGGTCGGTCGAGCTTCATTTCAGTGGCACTTGTTCCTTTTTCATAACGAAGCTGAAAACGCGAGAGCTGGCGCGTTATCGGCCACAAGGAACAGATATTTGGTTCGTGCGAGGCTCGAAACTAACATACAAAGGTAAATAAATAAATGAAGAAATATTGAAAGATGATTCACAACCACGTTTCTTTGCAAAAGTGGTTGTGAATTGCTGTGAAAAAACCACCACTCAATGATCATGTCCTTCTTCAAATGGATGTGAAGTGAAACCTGCTTTGTCAAGCGAACTTTAGGTTGTTCTGTTGTAATTTCATTTGGTCTCACAACATGGAAAACATATGAATACCAATCTCGATCTCCAAAATTACTGAAATTACGACGTCGACTCTCAGTATTGTTTCACGTATGTATCAATACGTGGTAACGACAGGAGGTACCTCAGAAAAAAAGATTCCTATAGGATCAGTCATGCATGGTTTAGCCATAAACGCTTCTATTAAATTTTCTTTAAATATCGGACGAAGATTGAGAGTTAATAGCGGGCCAATAGAAAGTGCATGGTTAGCGGGCCGCATGTGGCCCACGAGCCGTGTTTGATACCTCTGCTGTATAGTAGTTTAGCGGCAGCCAGAGTGCCGATTTCTATATCCACCGTTACATCAAATTAATATCGGGTACAACTATCGTACATCTGACTCTATGCAGAGTCTGCGGCCATCGAGGATGTGTTGCAGTGCCTGGCCCGGGGCATGCGCCTCTACAAGGTGCGCTCCGTCAAAAAGGTCTACCGTCGCCGCTACCAGCTTCTCCTGGACAACATGCACCTCGTGTACAGACGCTCCAGGAAGCCCTTCTTCGTCGCCAGGAAGCCCCACGGTCGGTGCGCCGTGCACGAGATTTCAAACGCTTCTCTATAAAAAAAAACTACGCTCAAACCTCGATGTAACGAACCCGGATATAACGAAATATCGGTTATAACGAAGTAAACGAGAATGTTGAGAAACGTGAGACGAGACGGTGGCGATAAAGCCGCGTCGTGGTCTCAGCTTTTATTCGTGACGCGAGCGTAGACGGGTTTCCAGCTGCCGCGTCCGGCCAGGCCAGGAGCTCAACCTTTCTGAAATTTCTCGTGGTTCGCGCCACACTAGCCACGCGACCCGCTTCTTTTTCGGCGCGGCCAGCTAGCCAAATCTAGCGTGGTGCTACAGTAAATAGTCCTGTGATAGCTGTAGTATTAGGAATATACATTTATAACAAAGTTTCGGATATAACGAAGCTATTTTGGCATAAGATGCAACTTTGTTATAATGAAGTCCCATCCCTTCTCAGGCTTCCTTTGATGACATTTCCTGGATACATCGTTACACATCAAATGCAATCGCCACAATTAACCATATATCTCTCCCTCAGTCTGTTTCCGAGAAACAAATTGGAGCAAATTTTTACTTTGAGGTTCAGAGAGGCTACTCAAGCTCATTACTTTTTCAGGCATTGTGTCCATGACCGCTTTACTGCCGAGTGGTTGGATCAAACACAGAAAATGTCTTCCTTTTTTCGTAGGCACAATGCACACATTGCCAACTCATGTGAACAGAAGCTTTTGTGTCACGCGCCACGATGGCCTTCTGGTTATGGTGCTTGAATGCTGACCCGTAGGTCGATGTATCGAATCTCAGCCATGGTGTCTGCGTTTTCGATGGTAGAAGAATTCTTGAGGACCGTGTTTTTTTTTTTTTTTTTGAGGAGGGATGGTGCACGCCTGAACCCCCTCCAAAATTTTCAGTTTTGTTTGCGTATATATACACGCACACATGCAGAACCATGCACAAACATGCATAAAAGATGGTTGAACCCCCTCTACCCTGAAAAAAATTCTGGCTACGCCCCTGAGCTTTTGCGGTGTAAGTAGTACAGCACAACTGCTCACTCACTGTACAACATTCTGCAACATTTGCTTACTATGCTTTCTCGACCGCGGTTCAGGGATATGCCACTTCCTCGTACATATACAGGTATGTTCACATATACAGGTATGTTCGCAAGCAAAAATCGTGCGTTCATGCTGCTACCGACGTATAAAATGCACTTCCAATGGAATCGCTATATACAGTGTGTCCTACGTAACTGTAGTCAGAGTTTAAAAATATGCCGAAACACGTAATTACGACGCGACTGAATGAATGTTACTCACCGTTGCCTGGAGTTAATCAGACTATTTTTTGTGTTCTCTAATATCGTTTAATTAGATCTGTTTAATTAACTAACTATCGAAGGAACGAAGACGGATAAAAAATTTCAATGAGAAACTTGTAGATTGGTTTGCAAAACGTCCGATTAGACAGTTTTGATCTGTTAGGTATTATAGTGCTTTTCTGCTAATTACAAATGCCCGCAAAATGCACAAAATACCACGTGACAAATCCGCTCGTGCGCCAGAATCATCTACCATAAAAGGTTTATGGTAGATGATTCTAGTGCTCCCTAACGTTCCGCGCACAGACGACCATAGCATTTAATTGGCCCATTGAGCTGTCTGGGAAGGGTCGCAACGATGGTGGTGTCTTTACGATGGACACGTTTTGCTATCGGCCACAAAAACGACAACCGCTGTGGCTGCTTATCGCTGTCATAACAGGTGCGAGGGGAGTATGTAGCTCGTACGCGGAACATTAGGGAGCACTACAATCATCGTGCGCACTGGCGCTCGAGCGGGTTTGTCACGTGGCATTTTTTGTATTTCGCGGGCATTTGTCATTTAGCAGAAAAACGCTAATGCTTAACAGATATAAAGTTCAAAACTATCTATTTGGACGTTTTGCAAGCCGATCTACAACTTTCTCATTGAAATTTTTTATCCATCTTCGTTCCTTCAAAAGTTAGTTAAACATTTCTAATTAAACCATATTTGAGAATACAAAAAATAGTCAAACTCCAGGCGGCGGTGAACAACATGCATTTGGTCGCGTCGTAATTACATTTTCCGGCATATTTTTAAACTCTGGCTAAATTTACGTGGGACACCCTGTAAGTTGTCACGGGGAAAAAGTTCAAGTGACAGTATTTTCAACTGTCTCTCGTACACAGTGGACATCTTCGAGGTCGAGGAGGTGCGCCAGGGCTGGAAGACGGACGTGTTCAACGGCGTGGAGCGAAAGTACCAGCGTGGCGCTCGCTCCCGTTACCTCCCTTTCAGCGTCGACATGAGAGAGGACCGCTGCTTCTCACTCATCTTGTCGCCCAAGCACGAGACTCTCGACCTGGTCGCCCGCACCCCGAACGAGTGCGAGCTATGGGTGCGCGGCCTGCGCCACCTGGTGGCCAACTGCAAGAACACGCGCAGGGACCAAGAATACGAGAGGTGCGTGAATTCCCATGGAGCGGTGTTGCGCACCTCTTTGATTTTTCTGCGCCAGTCCACGAACTGTAGAAATTGCACAGCTTGCACTAGTGGTGCAAGACTGCAGCCAAAACTGGCAAAGTTTAATCGAAAATTAATTCTAAGATTTTTTATACCTTTCCCAGTGAGCGCACCTCCTTTCAGAAGCGCACTCGCTACCGAGTTTGTCACAAAAGATTTTACGGCAACCGCATTATAACCAATCTTTCATCTTGGGGGACTGCACAATAAGCGGTATGCTTATACATGGGGTTCTATGGAAGGCTAAATAGGAGTTGTAAAGACTGTACTGTAACCGCTCCTGCACTACAAGTGGTTACTCTATAAGTGGTCTGCACTTGAGTACTACTTATTCCTCAAGGTTGACAATGGTCAATTCCTAACGGGCAATTAGATGTCCACGGAGCTCATGGTGCAGTACAGTATAAATTTTCAATGCTGGAACTTGTAAATTAAAAATAAGACTAATGCTACCGCATATGGCCACTGACACTTCTCTGCTTTCTTGTTTGGTTAAGTGCATAAATCATTCATCTGCACTGATTTCATTGCTAGGTGGCTGCGGGATCAGTTTCAGAAAGCTGACGTCAACAAAAGCGGCTCTCTGAACTTCCAAGAATGTCAGGGTCTTCTCAAGCAACTCAATATCACCATGGACAAACGTCACTGCCAAGCTCTCTTCCATGTGAGTGGATATGTGAAGTTGCAGTTTTAGCTGTGAAGCATTTTAGAGACTAGGCTTGCTGGCATCTCCTGCCATCACGGTGTTTCATGTAGTCATAGTCCATCATAAAAACAATCATACGCCACCTTTTTTGCAAAATGAGTTCGACTATACTTTATGTATGATGCGTTTGCATGTGTGCATGTATATATTTGCAAGCAAAATTTATAGATAAATTTGGGGGGGGGGGGGGGGGGGGGCAGTTGAACCTAGTACCCCCCCATTGAATACGCCTATGTGTGCCATAGTGGGTAATCCCACTACCTGCTAGCGACACATTGTTAAACTAACTCCGCTGCTTAATACCAATTCACTAAAAGATGAAGAAGGCAATAGTTAGCCCTACAAATAGCAGATGACGTTAGTGGGATAAAAGCACCCTTCCTTACATTCCATAGGGAAATGAAACCAGCTTGTGGGAAGAAGCAACGGCGCCTTAGGTTTCCAACAACGCTAGTGGAGGGGAAACATCCTTTCCTAAATACCCATTTTCAGGCTTGGCACCACTACTACCCCATCAAAGAACTCTCTCTCAAAAAGCTGCATGTCTCGCTCGACCCTGCCATGCTTTCATGTTCGTGAAGCTTAAACACCAATCCCTACATGCTTCACCTCTCCTCAGTTTCTTCCTAGCACTGTTATTGTACAATTAGTGCTGCAGTATGTCACCGGTGGCTATCAATTACCGTCACCATCTGAAGGAGTTTGTCACGAATTAATTTTTCACCCAAACATTGCAAATGAATATAGTGGATGTTGAGATTTATCTTTGCATTTAAACTAAAATACGTTGGCTCCACAATGCACACTGTTAAGTTCCTCGAAAAGCTTGTGGAACATACCGTATATACTCGTGTAAGGGCCGCACTTTTTTTTCGAAAATTTTGCTAGGTGCGGCCCTTACACGAATCAGGCCGATTTAGTACAGGCAGTACAGGCCAAAGGTCTGTACTGTTTATGCAACAGTAGCAGAGTGCAAGAGTCACAAATGACATGCCAGAAATGTTTTTATTCGGATTCCATTTCGCTGTCCTCGTTCTCGGAGGAGCTCGCCTCGGCGTCCGCGTCTTCCCAGAGACGGTCATCTTCGGTGCCGTTCATGGAGTTCGAAATTCCCGTTACCTTGAAGCTTTTAGCAACTACTTCTACTGACATGGCACGCCACGCATTCAAAATCCATTCACACACCTGTTGGAGCGACGCCCGCTTCAGCCGTCCTGTAGGGGTCTTCTCGTGGACGCCTCCAGCCATCCATTCAGAGTAACATCGGCGAAATTCCACTTTGAATGGTCTGTTGACGCATACGTCGAGCGGCTGCAGCACACTCGTCAGGCCACCGGGAATGACGGCCAAGTCCGTACGAGTTGCGGCAACTCGGTTCTTGACGCGGTCGGTCAAGTGGCCCCTGTGATGTGTGGTGCGCGTTCAAAGTGCGCGCCTTCGAAAAGTGCGCGTCACGAAAAAAAAAAAAAAAACAAAAGGAGAAATACCAGAGTGCACGTGCGGTGCTGCTTAAACAAGAATGACGACGTTAAAGAGCGTCAAGCACGAGGATGCGTGGCAGGACGTGAAGTAAACAAAAGGTAAAACATCCAATGGGCAGCGAACACGGAGATTTCAAGGCCCAATGGCTTGACACCACGAAACAGTAGTATCTCCAATGAGAACGAGACAAGTGGGCCAGAGCTGAAGCAGGAGCCTGGGGAGACCAGAGCAAGGGGAATTCGAGGCAGGCAGTGCAAGCGGAAGGTCGTCACCGGACCGGGCGCTGAAGATGGGCCGTTGGGTTCCGGACCCGAGCCTACAGGACTTCCACCGGCCGGGGCCTCCTGCTGTCGGGTTCCCGCTCCAAAGGACCGTGGCCATCCGGTCCTGAACTCCTTTCCAGAGCCTGCGGACTTCGGTTCCGGCAGGCGAGCTACAGCCGTCGGGCTCCGGGCCCGAGCTGTGCGCCCAGCTGCTTGACTAGGTCGACCCTAGTTCCCGGACGCGTCGCCACCAGCCTGCGTTCTCCCGTCTCCGACGTGTCCACGCTCCTCAAGCCGAAACCATCACGATTTGGTAGGGCTTTTCGACGTGTCGCCAGCAGCCAGCGTTCCCTCGTCCTCGTCCAGCCCACGCATTGACGCAGGAGTCACGGCGTTCCGGTTTCTCATCACCGCCGAAAACCAACTTGTGGGTGAGACTGCACCGATACTCTTGCGCTACTCCCATCACTCAGCCCCTTTCGAACGTTAGGTTTAGTTACTGACTTTGAACGTTCTTGTTGGGTGTTTACAGATGTGTTTCGTCATGTCCAGTCAACTGTTTATTAAGTGTTTTGTTTTGTGAGGAATCTTTGGCTTTTTACTTTTCAATTAAACTTTTTGTGTGTTTCTTGGAAACCGAACGGCTTTGTCCTTATTAGAAAAACTCTCTGAGGCTCAGCCCGGGAGAAAAACAAATCAGCAAAAAGAACCATGCATCACAAATTGGCGTCCGCGACAGGACAAAGTCGTTTGTTTTTCCAGTAGATTTTTTTGACGCGGTTAACACGATGACGAACACGTGGGAGTTAATTGAGTTGGCGGATAAAATGGGACTGACGGGAGCGGAGTTTAGAGTATGGTACGAGGAGCGGATGGAGAGGGAGCGTGAGCAACGGGCTGCAGAACGAAAGGCGGCGAAGGAAAAGCTTGAATTGGTGCTTAGAGCTAAGAAGGAGGAGCTAGAGCGCGTAACGCGTGAAAATAAAGTGTTGCTAGAACGTCAGACACGCATACTGAAGCAGCAGCTCCAATTAGAGAGGGTGGACTTCGAGCGGCGACTCGAGCTTGCGATGGCGAAAAGGGGGCAGCTGGCGATGCAGAAGGTCGAGCAAGCGGTGAATGTTTGCTCCGATAGCAGCGTTTGCTGGAGGGAAGTCGATTCCTGCAAGGTTGGCCTCGAGCCTCGCGACAGCCTTACTTCGGAGCGAGAAGCTCAGATAGAGGAAGGCAGAGAGGTGGACAGCCAAGAAGGCAGGAGTCATGAGGAGTTTGTTGAAGCGACGGAAAGCTTCTCTGGCTGGGAACATATTACTTCCGTTAGCTGCTTGGGGACCTCTGAGAGGCCAAGCACCTATGAAGAAGAGCGCCTGGATATGGGCGACCTAGAAGCTGTGGAAAATGTTGTGGAGCAAAGCTTCGATAGCAGGGAACGAAGAAGCTCCATTCAGAATGAGGTGTGTATCAGAACGTCTCAGAGGCCGAGCACATTTCGGGAAGGGGTAGGGCTACCTCTCAATAGCTCCATGGAAGGAGCGCTAGAACGTCATTGGGAAGATGGCAGCGAATGCCATGAAGGCTCTGATATAGTGGCCACTGATTGTTTTGTACCGACAGAGGTAGCAGCAGGCACCACGTCAATGGTCCTAGACCATACATATATCTCACTCAGAGAGAGAGGGGATTCTAGTTCACAGGATAGCGTAACTGCTATTTGTCCGAGAAAACACGATGGGAGTGCTGAAGCACTCTTCAAAATAAACAGTATCGAATCGGAGGTGGGCTCGATAGTAGGTATGGAGAATGCCAGACAGGGTCTTGAACCTGAGAACGTGATTGGTTTTGAACCTATAATTAAGTCCACTCAAGATGAGCTGTATAATGACCGAGCACAACGGCATCCCTTCTCAAGAATCCAGGAACCTCACACGCTTGTCGGAGCGTTTGGGCTTGCTGAGGGCACCCCGAGCTTGTGTTCATTAGATGGTGAATTAAAAGAAAGCATTTGTGTGAGAGATTGTGGCATTTGGACATTCGTGTCTCAGTGCGTTTCGTGTCGACGCCGACGGCTCGAGACCGCGCCCTGTTCCTCTGTGACCGGTAAGCGTTCATGTGGCCGGCGGGGGCGCAGACACGCGTTTCAGCGAAAGTGCATAAAAGCATGTTTGCCACAGTTACTTTCGAAACGTGCGAGAAGGGCAGTGCGTCTGGTTTAGGACGCGATAACCTGAGTGTAGGGTTAGAAAACCGGTAGCTCTTTCTGGACTTCGACTTTTAGATGCGGACACAAGTAGCTTTGTCCATAGTCGATTTTGTAGTAAAAAGGTTTATTCCGGGTTTCAGAACTTTTAAATGCAATTGGGTGAATCTAAAGTTTAAGTGTGGACATTTGGACGATGTAGCGAACTGTAGCCCGGTGATGTGCTGAACTGCGTGGTGCAAATATGTGGTTTAATTGTGACGTAGTGCAGAACGCGCACTCATCGGCAGTTTTTTTTTCTAAAAAAAAAAAAACTTGAATAAAAGGGGGGCGTATGTGATGTGTGGTGCGCGTTCAAAGTGCGCGCCTTCGAAAAGTGCGCGTCACGAAAAAAAAAAAAAAACAAAAGGAGAAATACCAGAGTGCACGTGCGGTGCTGCTTAAACAAGAATGACGACGTTAAAGAGCGTCAAGCACGAGGATGCGTGGCAGGACGTGAAGTAAACAAAAGGTAAAACATCCAATGGGCAGCGAACACGGAGATTTCAAGGCCCAATGGCTTGACACCACGAAACAGTAGTATCTCCAATGAGAACGAGACAAGTGGGCCAGAGCTGAAGCAGGAGCCTGGGGAGACCAGAGCAAGGGGAATTCGAGGCAGGCAGTGCAAGCGGAAGGTCGTCACCGGACCGGGCGCTGAAGATGGGCCGTTGGGTTCCGGACCCGAGCCTACAGGACTTCCACCGGCCGGGGCCTCCTGCTGTCGGGTTCCCGCTCCAAAGGACCGTGGCCATCCGGTCCTGAACTCCTTTCCAGAGCCTGCGGACTTCGGTTCCGGCAGGCGAGCTACAGCCGTCGGGCTCCGGGCCCGAGCTGTGCGCCCAGCTGCTTGACTAGGTCGACCCTAGTTCCCGGACGCGTCGCCACCAGCCTGCGTTCTCCCGTCTCCGACGTGTCCACGCTCCTCAAGCCGAAACCATCACGATTTGGTAGGGCTTTTCGACGTGTCGCCAGCAGCCAGCGTTCCCTCGTCCTCGTCCAGCCCACGCATTGACGCAGGAGTCACGGCGTTCCGGTTTCTCATCACCGCCGAAAACCAACTTGTGGGTGAGACTGCACCGATACTCTTGCGCTACTCCCATCACTCAGCCCCTTTCGAACGTTAGGTTTAGTTACTGACTTTGAACGTTCTTGTTGGGTGTTTACAGATGTGTTTCGTCATGTCCAGTCAACTGTTTATTAAGTGTTTTGTTTTGTGAGGAATCTTTGGCTTTTTACTTTTCAATTAAACTTTTTGTGTGTTTCTTGGAAACCGAACGGCTTTGTCCTTATTAGAAAAACTCTCTGAGGCTCAGCCCGGGAGAAAAACAAATCAGCAAAAAGAACCCGCATCACAGCCCCTAAAGCTGTCCAAAACAAGGAGGGCTTTCCGTTGTAACAGCCCTCCAGGTCTGTTTGCCCAGACGGTCTTAATCCAGTCAACGACCAGTTCCTCGGACATCCAGCCCTTCTCTTGCGCACGTACGACGATTCCCTGAGGGAACTTCTCTTTTGGGAGAGTCTTCCTTTTAAATACGACGTACGGCGGAAGCCTCCTGCCGTCTGCCGTGATGCACAACATCACAGTGCACCTTTGGCGTTCTGCACCAGTCGTGCGCACAGACACACTTTTCGCACCTTTTAAATCCACTGTGGTGCTTTCCGGTGCATCGAACCACACAGGTGTCTGGTCCGCATTCCCAATTTGGGACAGGTCGTATTCATGCTCCCTCCTGAGAGCATTCACGAAGCGATGAAACTTAATGACGTGGTCTTCGTACTCGCGCGGCAGTTTTTGGCAAATCGTCGTTCGGCGCCGAATAGAAAGCTGGTTACGGTTCATAAACCGCGTAGCCCAGCCCCGACTTGCCTTGAATTGTGCCGGGGGTATTTCCATGTGGCGAGCGATGCTGAGGGCTTTGACGCGTATCATGTCAGTCGATACGGCGTAGCCGTCCCTTCGTGTGTCGACGACGTAGTTGACGAGCTCGCTTTCGAGTTGCGGGTACTTGCACTTTTTCCCGCGAAACGCCTTTCGGCTCCTGTTAGTAGCGGCGAGGGCATCTTTCTGATTCATCCAGTAACGCACGCGCTTCTCATCGACGTCGTACTTTCGTCCAGCTTCCCGCTTCCCGTGCTCCTCGGCATAGTCAATCACTTGCAGCTTAAATGCTGCAGTGAATGATCTCAGATGCCGGCCCATCGTCCGTCACGTGCGCTGGCTTCTGCAGGGTTCACTACAACCAACAAAGTGACACCGACGACACCGATCTGAAGTCGCGCTGCCAACGTATCGACACGATGCTAGGAACGATGCCAACAAAGAGGCCGCACAAGGCAAATATGGCGGCGCGCTGTCAACAGCGTGGTCGGCGCGTCGGCAAAAGTAGAATAAAAGCGGAAAAGCGTGCAGCGCCATCTGGCTGTAAATGAACTAACTACACTTTTCTGGCGGGACATTTTGAACTTTTGTTTTTTTTTTTTCGAAATATCCGCTTTCAAAGTTGGGGTGCGGCCCTTACACGAGGGCGGCCCTTACACGAGTATATACGGTACTGCGCACTTGAGATTGTGACTCTTCTAATGCACTCTTCTCAGTGGATATGCGTTTCATGAGAAATCTTCTCTATATTCAACTTATGAAACCATTGTACAAACTCGTGATAAGCTATAATATTCGTTATATTACTATTTCGTATTTTGCAAGATTTACCTGACGTGCAACTTCTCCTGAACACAGGCTGCCAATTTCAAGAAGCACAGAGTAAACGGAGAAGACGTGCTGGACCGAGACGAGTTTGTAGCCTTCTACCACAGCCTTCTGTCACGGCCTGACATAGACGCCATCTTTAAAACGTGAGGCCTACCTCATTCCTCATTATTCTCTGCATTTCTACTTGCTAGTAGAAAACGTTCGGCAGAGTACAAATTGATGCAGCTAGTAAAAACGTTTTTAAACAAAAATACAGTGTTGCAATTTCCAGCACGATAAGTTGCAAATAAACTTACGAAATGGCATCATGCAAAGGTTTTTTCTAGTATGGTTTCCAAACCAGAAAAAGAAATACCGGTTCTGTTTATGTCCATGCAGTGAACTCTAATTTCATTCTAGTTCAGAGAAATAAAAATTTCTACTACAATTTGTAAAGTATCATAAGATAAACTCTTTTTCATGGCAGCAGAGTTGAACAGTTCTATTCCTACCCAGGTTTGCTGGCCACAGCATGAACGTCATGGGACCTGAACAGCTGCTAAAGTTCCTGACTCAAGAACAGAAGGTGCAATGAGATGTTACTAATCGTCAGTGTGAAACTAAATTCATTTTTATTCTTTGGTTAGGTGAATGTGTCCCTTGCCGATTGCAAGAGAATCATCGAGAAGTATGAACCAGACAAGCACAAGCCACAAGGCTTCCTTGGAATTGCAGGTATTTGTCATCGATCATTTTGCTAATGCCTTTCAACATCAAAACTAGAATCTTTTACATGCAGAAAACCATTAAGTGATCATAAACTTCACAAGAGCGAGGGGGGGGGGGGTAATTTTCACCAGCTGGGTGTAATATTAGGATATACAAGCTTTTTTTTTCATATTTATTTCATCCCCTTCACAATTTGGCCACCTGTGATGGCATCAAGCTTGCAATCTTAATCTCTACAATACAATTCAATACCTGCTAAGCAACCAATGCATGTATTTTTCGGCATAACATGCAGCATAAAAGCAATTGATCTGACATCGGTATCACACGACGTAGTACATTGTAAACAACTTCAGATGTGAAATAACAAACTGTATTAAGCTTAGAATGACATATTTGCCTGCTTTGAGCCAGAAGTACAAATCAATGTACTAGAAACGGGAATGAAACGCATTATTTTTCTGCGGTGTGCAGGTTTTCGCGAGATGCTTCTTTCGGAAGAGCACGACATATTTGACGCCAAGCACCGGCAAGTCTGCCAGGACATGAACCAGCCGCTGAATCACTATTACATAGCGTCTTCCCACAACACGTGAGGAGTTTTTCAGTATGCTGCACGATTTTTCTGTGTCAAACTATCTCGCTGCATTGGTAATTAAATATGCTCCACTTGAGGTGACCATTCCGTCCCCAACTTCCAGTGCATATGCTTGACTTTACTTGAATACTATATCTGTTTCTCTTTGAAGAGCTTTGTGGTGTCAAAAGTGCAGCTGCTTCCTTTCAAAGCAATCAGTGGGTAAATATTGAACTGCTATACACCGTTGTAACTTACTTAATGCCTAAACCTCTGTGAAATTTTTTGCTTTGTGTTTCTGCACTAACACATTTAAACGCCATCATGCATTTTTACATTCAATTTCTTAATCGCTGAGTGCCCTTGGTCTGCAAGTGGGAACACTTGGTGAGTGACTTCTCTGCCATGAACTCCCCCTGATTGTTCTAGGGTTGTGGTTGCAAATGTTACGGGCATTTTAGCAATAAACGTGCCATGAACTGTTCCGCACTAGTCTGTTATATGAATGAAAGCATGCCTGCAACCAAATAGTCATAATTAGAGATGTTATGAACCAAAGGAACATGGAGAACTGCTGTCTATATGTGCTGAACCATTTTTCAATACCACGCTGCTACGGTCTTTACCTTCACTGGCAGATCCGTAGCATAATCATATGGTGGTTTTGGGACATTAAACCCCACATATACATCTACCTTCCAAGGGAGTCATTTCAATCCTTGAATGGTTTGGGATGTCATGTACCCCGATTTCTCACATGCTTGATCTTCTCATAATTATTGCAGAAGCTGCGCATTGTAGTACCTTCCTAACTTTGTACAGTGTGACAATATCAGTTCACATTTCTCCCTTTGCCATTCCGTAATGCACAGGTACCTAGTCCAGGGGCAGCTCGTTGGAAGCAGTAGCGTTGAGGGCTACATCAGGGCACTGAAGAAAGGATGCCGCTGCCTGGAGCGTGAGTTACATCCATTCTCTCCAGACTCCTCCAACTAAAAAAAAAATTTAACTTTTGGCTACCTCGCTACCGCAGAAGATGAAGCTAAGCCATCTAGTCAAGAAATTTAATTTTTGAAGCCCCTTTAGTGGCATGAAACTCAAAAAATTAGCCAAACATTACATGTGATCCTGGTCAGGTGACATGTTGCATGAAATAAAAAGCAAATTCCTTTTGTTCACAGGCTGTAAACATTGTAAGAAATATATAGCTAGATTTAAGAGAATATTGGGGCTTGAAATGATAAGTATCCATAGAAATAATGTCACTTGCACTCCAATAAATATTTCTGTTCAGCGATTCATCACGTGAACAAGTGTATGCATGCAGCCATAGTTTCAAAGGAAAATGTGATGGTCTTTGTGGTGTGCAGCATTTCAGAGATTCGGCCACAAGAATAGTGACAGATGTACTACATCTTTAAATTGGCCTCCGAGTGTTCAATGTTCACCGATTGTTTCAACGGGAACCAATTTCGGTAGAAATGCACAGGTGAATCAATCTTCTGAGACACTTTTTGATGCCATTGTCCCCTCCATGTCATGCATAAAGAAGATACATAGATGTTTACTTAGGTAATTTATACAGCTCTTTATTTATCTCACACCGCTAAATGCCTCCCTTGCGGGCATATTTCCAAGAGTTTATCATTTCTGAGAATATGAGCATGCAACTGGATGCGTTTTCTAAGGGCCCTAGCTTTTATGATACAAAGCCAAACACACTGGTTGGTGCAGGAATGCATATGTGGATGACATCAACGCATCCTACGATGAGTCGTGTTAAAGCGGCCCTCCAACACTTCGGGAGACATCATTGTTTTACGTTTTTTATTTGCAGGCTGTGTAAACTAAATGCTGAAGAAATTGGTGCAACAAAAACAGTAGCAATAGGACACACAGTCCGCAGTTGTTCAGTTTCAAAAGTTCAAAATACAATAAAATGGATGCCTACTATCAACTTGATTTTCGTGGGCTCTCCCGACCACGTTTCCCTCACCCTGCCATGTTAGATGGCCCCCAATAAAATTAGATAAAACCTCCTAACTATGGGAGGCTTGCATGGCACATTGCCTGTTATTTCCAACGAATTGGCGATGCCTTTGGAATGGAAAAAAAACAATGGGGTGCTTGAGGAGTAAACCGTAAATGTGAAATGAATTAGCTCGTGAACGCCTCTATCATGTTTTGTAACTTTAGTGATCTTTCTTGCTGCGACAGCATCTGTATTAATGCTGTTACATTTTTTCTGTTTAGTTTCTTCAAACAATGGTGCCTGAAGTGTGTCTCGCGTGTTCCTTTCAGTGCTGTGGCGTTCAGCACGTTTTTGCTCGGTGCTGCAGTTTCCAAGCTGGAAAATTCAAAGAGTGTTAGTCTCAAAAGAAAAGCTTCCTAAAGAAACATGAAATGCAGTAATATTCCTCTTTTTTTATGTAACGTAGTGATCACATCTAACCTTATTCATATCCAATCACAAGTATGCACTCTGCACCATCATTTAATTTTGCTTGCAGTAGTTCTGGTGAGCGTCACTATGCATTGATGCAGTCAGCACTGTTTATGCTTAAAAAATGTGTTGAAGGGCTGCTTCAAAATACCCGCTCTGTGTGCAGTGGACAATACTTTCAGCATGCCCTATGAATCGACTTCAGCAAATGATTTAAAATATCAGGCTCAGGCGTCTGTGCAGCTGGAGGTCATGATTGCTGACATCAGCTTGTGACATTATGTGCTCATAGTTCAATAAAGTGAACTGATCAACCAATAACTGTTTTCCTGTTGTACCAATGGTTACTTGAGCTGAAAACCATATCTGCATTCTCCATCATATATTATCACGACACATCTCCTTTCCTAAAAAGAGCTTTCACTCCCCATTTCTAGTGGATGTCTGGGACGGACCTGATGACGAGCCCATCGTTTACCACGGCTACACTCTCACCACCAAGATACTCTTCAGGGACGTCCTCGAATCGGTCAACCTTTACGCCTTTAGAGAGTCACAGTAAGTTCAACTTTTACGTGTGGAAGTGTTCCATTGAGGAATGGAAATTCGTCGAAATAAAGCGATCGGTTGATATTATCAAACAAGGTAGTCACTTGCCAGTGCACCCTCTGCGCAGGTACCCCGTCATATTGTCCCTCGAGAACCACTGTACTCTTGAGCAGCAGAAAGTGATGGCCAAGCATCTAGTCGAAATACTGGGCTGTACGTAATTCCATACATTCGTTCAATTTACATCTAAACATTTGAATGGGACTAGTGTGCACTAGCTGCTTATATTGTACTGTGATGCTGCGTGTATTGTCGTTCATGGTAAGGTATGTTGGCTCTCTCTCTATGAGCTAGGGTGAATTATAGTGATGAAGGAAGAAAATAGCAGGACTAGCTCAAAATCCTCAGTAAAGGTTTATGGTATGGTTTCCGCGTCAAGGAGGCTTCTTTTATTCCAAATAAAATGTAGAATGATCACATAGTACTTCGATTTAGATCCCTATTAAGAAACATATTTGGTAAATGACAATTGGTAAATGATAATAAAATCGGAAGTGAATGAAATTTCTGATGACCAAAAGTTGCATAGCTCATCTATTCTCCAGCGCTGCCACTTACCTTCATTTTTGCACCTTTAGCACATTGAGAAACGGCTGTCTGGCATTCACTAAACTGCTACTACAAAAAAGATTTATCGTAAATGCTTGTGGGAAGATTGCATTGTGTTTAAAAAAATGTTAAGGCCTACAAAGTTATCCACAGTCAGACATTCACGGGGTGGAGCTTATGCAGGCATAGATATTGCTGCCTGTTGAGTGGCATGTGGTTCTTGTGTAGATTTTGTTCTGCAAGAGTTCGGAGGAAAACATGAGTTAAAGCTCTGGCTTTCAATCTGTTGTTGCAGCTTTATTGTACAAGAGGCCAGTCGGTGACAGAGAAACGGCAATGCCACCACCATCAGCACTGCTGAATAAAGTTCTCATAAAGGTAACATGCCCATGCAAGTAGTGTACCACCTCCCTAACGTGCACACCTTTTTTGTTTGAGATATGTAGGAATTAAGGCATTTTAGAGAAATGTCAATTCATGAACATTCAAATTCATTCAGGCAGTATCATAATTATTCCACCAGAACTTGTAGCCTATCACTATAGTTTAAGCATAGAGCTTCTGTGTTGGTCCTCAGTATCAGTTGACTTCCACCCTATATTGGCACGTCATGAAAGCAAATGTAAGTTCCATGTGCCTTTGTGAAGTGCCACAATGCAATTACTCAAAGACTTTAGTGGTGGAGTCATAATAAGATCATGGTATAATTTCGGTCATCAACTGGAGATGGCCACTCAAGAAAACATTTGTGTTTACACTTGAAATGTATGACTAATCAGTAACACAATAAGTCACCCCTTATCATTTACATAGCTCCCATAATGTTTTTCAGTCTCTTAATCAATACACTAATGAATATTTTAGCCCATGCAATAATAAATATTTCTTTCATAAATGGGCAGGCATATATGCCTGCACTGTGGTGCTATGTTGAGCGTCCAAACTTTTGGTTGTGGCTTATGTGTGTGAATGTGATGTGTTCAATTAATAGAGCAGATTCTTCTATAAATAATTACATATCAAGGTTCCTATGCAACACAGATAAATGTAGCCGTTTTCTAGACAGCTCATAACTCAGTCACTCTTGAGAAAAAAAATGCCACACAGGCTCATCAGAAGAGCATTGTACTATCAAAGGCCTAGAATTTCCACTTTTTGTAAGCACACAATAAATCGAGGCAATTTTCTGCATGTACCTCTTGCACACTTCTAATGCAAGCAGACCTTGTGATATATCACATTTTCCTGGAGACCTAACATCAGTGATGCATCAAGGCTGTCAAATACAAGCACTTACGCACTTAATAAAACTGTACTTCGTGATGCATTGTTTGCTCCAATACTGGCCATTGCTATACACGATAAAGGTAAACATTACAAAAAAAACATTACAAAGCAAAGCCAACATATGGCTGGAACTTCTTACAAATACTGCTTGTTGTAGTTTACGCCATACCCGCATTCATGACCGTACTGTGCTTTCTGGCAATGTGCCGTTGTACTGTGAAGTCCATAGTGCCCATTCTATTGCAACTCTTGTTATTGTTCCTGTGTTTGTCCACTCTCCAAGATTGTTGTGACAGTCTCGCTTAATGTTGTGTCTCACGTCCTGTTGTGTCTTTCAGGGCAAGAAGCTAAACAAAGACCTCTCCTTGGATGAGGATGAGGATAGCGAAGATGAAGGCACTGCAGCCAAAGTAAATAATGCACAATCTCTACTTAGCAGCTGCATGAATGTATGTCTTTGTGAGGCATTGGTTGGATAGCTGCTGTACACTCATTAATTGTCACCAGCAGAAGTAACCGTGCTTGCCGAGGAGTTGTCTGCTTACCAACTCAATTTATCAGTTAGCGCTAACTGCGCACAAATGCACATATCTTAGAGGTGTCACGAACCATTCCCCCGAATTTTGTGCGATTTCAGGTCTGCGGCGCAAGGAGAGCTTGCAAGTGGATTGCAATGCTGCCATTTTCTCACGCGCCCATCACACAAAAGCCTGTCCTCACTCGCTTCGGAGTGGCCAGTGCTCGCCGTTCGAAGTAAAACGAGTAGAATGCCATTGGCTAATAACGGGCGTAAATCAAAAGCAGTGTTTGGATCATATGTGCTCTCAGCCACTGGGTGCTGCCATGTACTAGTGCTGCACTCCATATTTTGCTGAACATCCCAGCAATCCGCACTTGCTCGCAAGATTCACCTCACAATGGGGAGAGCAATTGCACCTGATCACGTGCTGAAAGTCACAATGCGCGCTGACCTAACTTCTTCCCCCCTGCCGTTCCTCCCTTTTTAGCTTTCAGTGCACGTGACAAGATGAGGGAAAGCACTTGAAGTGCGCAGCGAGCCCCTGTAACTTCGCTCGTTCTTGAGATTCAAGAAATTCTGGCGACATTCGATTTTTGAGGCGGAGTAAGCTACATTACTGAAGTGATTTGATGATTGTTGGGCAAAGTGGCTCAACACCCTTTTGACGAGTTCCTCTTTTAAAAAACTGGAATTATAATGCAAAAAATCACACTTGCTTGTTTGAAAATTCTTTAAATGAAGTGCTTCGTGTGCTTTTGGCCACTCTTCTCGTTTGTTTCTGATGTTTCTGTATGGCATGCTGCACGCTTGCATTGTCCTTTCATTTGAGTCCAGTTGAGAAATGCATCAAAATGCTCTGCAAAATTGAACTGAAACAATCTAGTAGTAACTCTAACACAAGTTTTTGTGCCAATATTATTCACACTTTCCCTGTTGGACATGCTGTACTAGTCTCATTTTGGCCTGTCAGCTCTCTCTTTTACCTGTTTTATTGCTTTAATGCTTAGACCTCACACAAAGCTGTCCTAGCCAAGGAGCTTTCGGACTGTGTCAACTACTGCAAGGCAACACATTTCAAGTCATTCGAAGAGGCCGAAAATTGTGAGTATAAAGGTGAACCATTACGCTCACTTTACCCTTATTACAGTATCACAGTATCACTGGCCCACAACTCCGAGTGCTACTTGATCCTGTTTTTTATGACACAGATATTATTACTTCCTTGCTATGAGCACACCATACACATATGCATCTTTTCATGCAACTTGACAATGTGAGGAAAATTGTGGGTGCTTGAATTGGCCATGCTATTAACATACTTGTACTATTTGTTAACATACTCGTACAACTTTAGAATGCACAATCAACGTGCAGGTAATTTTACACTAAGAAAATTAGAAAAATAACTTGATGCAGATTTCAATCTTGAGCCCAATTTTAATGCTTAAAGAAATGTGAGTGCTACATTTAGTAAAAACAAGTCTGCATTACACCATGCAAATATGGCTTGTGGAAACGTGTTTAAGCACACGTTTTTTTGCTTGTGGGTTGATTCATAAAAGTTAGAGTGCCAAAACTTTTTTTTATCACAAGGAAATTAGATGCCCTGTTTTATTGACAGAACTTTCATCATTGGCCATGAACAAGCCTTAAAAGAAGGCATATACTTCCAGATATCAATCTCTCTAGTAATGAAGGAATGGAATTTGTGTTTTCAACCTTTATGGAAAGAAAATGTCCATTGGCAGTGTTAATAGGTCGTGAATAAATAAAGCAAGAACTATAGTGGACTGCTCTTTATACATGGATGATCTACTACAGTAGCTGCTATATGCTCTTGTGCAACATGACAATCAACTATCATCGGAGGTCTTATTGGGCTTATTTTGCAACAGCGGCATACACATTACTGGACTATTCTAGGAACGGAAGCATGTACTACAGGTTAACTCACCTGCTGCATATATTTCGCTTTGTGCCTCTGCCATAATTATTGCACATGCTACTCCTTTTCTTTTACCCATTACCAAGTGCAGAGTACAAAGATTGATATGTTTGCCTGGAGTTCTGGAGTGCTGCATTCCAGACTGTGTAAGTGGCATCTACCAAGAACGTAGGTTTCAGATAGCACAAATTAATACAAGCGCTATCTTCCTTGATGAATGATTAGATGTGGGCTTTCTTGAACAAAGCATAGTCAGCAGATATCACCAGTGCAGTTTGAAAAGTGCCGCTCTAGCATTTTAAACAAGTCTGCCGAGCTCCGTGCCTGTCGAGTATACCTCAAACGAGTGTCTCACCCTTTTTTCACATTTGTGTTTTTTTTTCTCTCTCTTAATTAAGAAGCGTGCTGTTTTACAAATTGATAACTTTGTATAATCTACGTCATCAGGGCACTTCAATGAAATGGCCTCCTTCAGCGAAGTCAAGGCCAGCAAGATCTCATCGACGCCAGAAGGGGCGCAGAGTTTTGTTCGCCACAACAGCAAGCATCTCTCCAGGATATACCCCAAGGGAACCCGGACAGACTCGAGCAACTATGACCCCATCAAATTCTGGAACGTCGGCTGCCAAATTGGTGCGTGTCTCAACTTCTAATTTCCTTCACTAGAGTAACTCTGTATTTTCTCAGACTACGTACTCTTGTTTCACTAGTATCACTGCCTTGAAAGCTCGTGCAGGTCTCGGTAACCTTTTCTATCACCATTACCTAGCTTATTTATCTGTTTTTATAGAATATATCATTATCGCTTTTTTTCATTGCGATTTCTTCGGCTAACTCTCGGCAGTCCTTCCAAGCCATGTTTTGTCCACTTCATTTGAATCATTACGTTATCATTACTCCGGCACATTAGAAGGCAACAATTTATGGCCCCTATACTTTCCCTGGCCCAAAAATCTCATGAATTCATTCAGTTGTATCTGATTAGCAGCAAACCATTAACGGCAGTTGTTGGTTGATTTTACAGCACATTTTACTGTTATGAAATCACAAGGGTTGTTTTTGGTGCTGTAGCTGTCCGCTGCCCGCGGTGTCTGCTATAACGTCTGTTGTGCAAAATGAGGAAAAAAGTGAAATCAAGACCACCCAGGATCGAACGGGTTTCGCACTTAAGCCATCTCAGTGGCAGCCCAGCAATCTACCACACAGCAATGTACACTATAAAGTGGACGGAGGAATGACCGCTGCCGTAACTCGGTGGTAGAGCATCAGACGTATTATTCGAAGGTCGCAGGTTCGGTGCTTGCCAGCAAGTTATCTTTTTCTCTACTTTTCTTTCTTCACATTTAGATTAGAGTTACTTTTAATAACATCTGCAATACTTTCCTTGGCATTATTGTCCTGTTAGTTCTCATTAAAGTTGTGTCAAACAAGAAAAGAACCCTTAATCTTGCACTTCTTTTCCTCATGAGTAATGTGGTTGTCTGAAGCAGTTTTAATGAGGGCATGGTTACTCAGCTATAACTATAAATGCTGTCAGACCGTTCCTTCCCTTGCATCTTTCAAATAGAAATGATGCTTGCAATGCATTTAGGCATTGATATTTTGTCCAGCAATCCTGCTATGATTTAGTAGCAAGAATAACATCTATGCAGTCTTTTGCAACAAAATAAGCTTGGTGCATCGTTGATGTCAACGTGAGATCTTAGTGCTAAGTCACCATCGCCTTTGCACAATGCGTGTTGGGAAGCCCAGAACAGTGCTTTCTGCTGCCTTCATTTTGTTTTTGACGTGTTCTCTTCCTCAGTGGCATTGAATTACCAAAGCTGGGACCAGAAAATGTTCTTCAACGAGGCAAAGTTCTCTTTGAACGGTCGCTGCGGTTACGTGCTCATGCCAGAGTTCCTCCGAAAGGGAAATTTCAGGATGGATTCTCCCGACCCGTCTCTCAAGAAGACTCTCGTTCTGAGGGTGAGAAATCGAGTCCAATCACTTTCCTTCAAAAAGAGTGCAATTGAACTTGACTTCATAAGATCAAGGCCAGCATCTTGAACTTAATTTCAAAGACGAAGAAGCGGGCCAAGATAAGCGATTTTTTTTCTCCCACAATTAGAACATTCTGTGCCTTGTGTGTACAGAGTTAGTTGTCTTTCTTAAATGCGCCGATTGTAGGTGATTGTCCACCACAGGCAAATTTTTGTGGCCCGTTCTTTCCATATTGAAGCTTGCAGTAGTCTTGCAATAGACATAGTGTTAGGAATAAACCTTGATAACGAATTTTCGGATATAACAAACTTATTTTTGTTTAAGATGCAACCCTGTTATAATGAGAATTCGGTATATCTGTGTTAGACTGTAATATATGACTGCACAATAGAGATTAAAGTTTTGCTGCCTTGGTGTCTTTCTAGTGTACTCATGCGATTCGGGTTCATGTCGCAGATAATCAGCGGCCAGCAGCTTCCCAAGCCTCTTGAGACCACGGATGGGGAAATCGTCGATCCTTATGTTGTGGTCAAAGTATTCGGACACCCTCTCGACAATCAGAAGGTCAAGACACGGTTCGTCAGGAATAATGGTGAGACAATCACTTGTCACCTTTTATGTCACTCTATCTCCTTTGTTGTGTGAATACTGCATAATGCTTCTTCACACTTCTTGCGATGTTCAAGGTGTTATTACTTTTGAGCTTTTCTCAAAATGTTCAAGATGTTCAAGGTGTTATTACTTTGAGCTTCGTACAAATTAGATGCTGTCTTTCTTGTATTTATTTTTCTTTTCAATGCACTATGTGTAAATGTCTAGCCTTTATGAGTACATTTTTGCCCCCTCCTGCTATGGCTCAAGACAGGGCAGCAGTATCTGTAAAAATAAATAAATATAACCTTGTGCACAAAGAATATCGCCACTTGCTTTGCTGCCAAAGTTGGTGAAGTTGGGCAAAGTGTGCGTCAATAAAGCTTACCAGGCTTGTGTGAATATTCAAATGTTTCAAATATTCAAACGAATAATACAGTATTCGAATTTGCTTCGAATTGAATTTAAATTGTTGAAAATTTCAAACTATTTGACATATAACCTCCTATAAAAGTGGTTTTACCTCAGTTAATTAGCCCTAAGTGGTAAAAACACGTACTTAGAAGAAATCTGCAGTGCCAGGAAGTCCCGCTTTAAATTAAGATATTACCCTCACATCGATTAACTTTTTAAGTTCAAAAGCCTGTTATACTTACTGACTGATAGGCTGTAAGTATGGCAGATTTTAAACATATTTTACTGCATTCTACTGAAAGTCAAATCCTGCTGCTATTCAAAGTTGTTTCAACTTCCCTAGAAAAAAAAAGGCATTTGAGCAAGCCTTGTTTCAATTAAAAAAAATAACAGTGTACAGTTTAGTTCCAATACACCCAGTTTATATATATATATATATATTTATTTAATTATACTATACAACTGTTCGATTCAAAATTATTAGGTCAAAATCACTATTCACACAAGCCTAAGGCTTACCATACTTCATATAGCAAAGGATAATATTTCACATAATGTTAAACATATTGGCTGCATGATTAAACCGAGTCACTGCCTAGCAGCTGGAAGCTAAGGCGCGCCTAGTGTGGATTGGTCCCTACATCGTTCTTTTATAGCCACGTGGTGATTGCATGTATCCATACATTGTGCATGTCCTCAAAAGGTGGTAATTCTGTCATGTCAGTGCAAGTTTAACTGCTTGTACGTATGCCCAAGACAATATAAACTAACAAAAAAGTCAAAGAAAATACAGGGGATGTTTTCTGTAATAATCATAATGTAAATGTGAAGAAAGTAAAGTGGACAAAAAAAATTAAGTCCGACGCTCCACAAATTGAGCTACATCACGGTCATTCTTTTCTACCTGTGGGGCATATATGAGCGTTAAACATGGGAGTGTTGGTCAGTGCTGCTAGGCTACAACGATCAGCTTAACAGCCTAAACCGCTCAAAACGAAGTGCCGCTGTATGCATCGGTATACATGCTGCCGACCGCCTATCCACACTACCACCGCGATGGTGGTGATAAACCTGTAGGTTGATCTTATGGCCAATAGCACTTGTTTTTGTAAATCAACTGTGTTGTATTACTCACAATTTCTTTAGCTTTTCGAGGTTCCAAGCATCACTGCTTTACCGAGAAATAACTTACAGTTCAACATATATGCTTTAAATTTGCAAAGTGAACATTAAAGGGCTGTAGAACGGACACAGAAAATGGACAGTATAAGAGGACAGAAGCATTGTGACCATCTTTTCTACTGTCTGTATTCCAAATATGTTTTTCTTAAAGTTGCTGCATGATGGATATCCATCAACTAGCCCAGCTCGTGATTCTGCACAAATACCTTAAGTTGCAGTTCAATAAATGGGACTGATGTTCTTTTGCTGCTTGAGTGAAAATTGCGCGTAATCTTTCCTCTCATGCATGCTTTCCAGGCTTCAACCCAACGTGGGACGAGAAATTCGAGCTGCCGGTACACGTCCCCGAGCTGGCCATGTTGGCGTTCACAGTGAAGGACGAGAGCCGCACGGGCAAGAACATGAAGCTGGCTAAATTTGCCGTTCCCTTGGATGCAGTGTGCGAGGGTTATCGCCATGTGCGGCTCTACAACAACGCCTTCATCTCTCTGGTGCCGGCAAGCTTATTTGTGCACGTCAGCTTCCGCAAACCCTGATCGTGTGCATCGTCGTGAACTGCCGCTGCGAAGGACGTCCTCCTCGAAGCACATTGTGGGCTCTGCTAGCCTCAATTGTCATTGCCATTTACAGTACACTCAAACCTCTCTACAACAAAGTTGCATCTTACATGAAAATAAGTTCGTTATATCCAGAAACCTTTTATAAAGGTGTATTCCTAGCACTATACTGCAAGAATATTTTTCATTTATGTTTGTTATAAGCGATGTTTCGTTATATTAAGGTTTGAGTGTATATGTCTTTTTACGACTTGCCTGTGTATATGCCAAATCAGTAGTCTTGCATGCTGTAATAAGGTTGCTTTTTGGACTAACAGATAACTGCCGGATAGCCTGTTCTGCACCATAAACTATGGTTTTCCATGTGCACTCGATTTTCTTTCGCCAAAGTACCGTCAGCAGCAAAAGTTTGCGGGATCTCCAACACGAGACAGAGGGACGCTAAACTGCACTGCTGCTCCATCTATCACAACCGTGTCTGATGTCGAGGCTCAAGGCAGTTCCGCAACAGTTATTCTTTGCGCATGTCTGTCCCTTCTTCAATGTTAGAGGCATGTCTCATCACCTGACTTCTTGCGATATGCTTTTGACTCGCATTATAGACGCTAAAGTATTATCGACCCTAAAGCATCTTCGCGCATCTGTGTCAGATGTTTGATGGTGAACAGAGAACCCTAGCATCTCTTGCATAATATGCTATATTTTCTGAATAAATGTCATCTTCCATGACACATAGCCAGAGAAAAAAGCATTAATTTTTTGTTGATAATGCAAGCACCGATACGCTGTCATTGTAACTTACAAGTCCTGTTCATCTTTCTGATAACGCAAGCATCAATAAGCTGTCATTGTAACTTAATATTAATATTTATCCTACAGAAAGCACAACTAGCATGCTTCCTGGGAGGCTTATTTCTTCAGAGAACGTAGCATGAAGTGTTAAAGGAGCACTGACACTAAATTTACTCATGTCAAGATTTTTGCGTCAATGAGTAGCTATTGACTCCCTAGTAGCTATTCGCGAAATAAAATTCAACTGAGGGACGAATAACTACCACTTTTATTGATTTATATTACTGGTATCTAGCACGATCCAAACGGCCAGGGAGCCCGCCATTTTTAGCACTAGGAGCACTTCCTCACGGTCGCTTCCAGACCACGCCACAGACGACCACTTCTCGACAGAAGATAGTGACATGAGGCTCAGCTGCTTCGCAAACATTTTGTCTCCTAGGCACACACATTAAGTCATGCTCTGTCACCTGCATTGTCGTCGTCACTGTACGAAGTGTCGGCTAGGGTTGTATACGACAGTCTGGAACTTGGAATTGCCGCGAATCATTTTTGCTTGGATCAACCCTTTGTAGGACAGCGATCTCAAAATAGATGCCGGATAATTAATCAAGGACAGGTATTCACCAGAGCATGCCTGGAACACGCTAGTAGTGCTGCAATAGTCGCAGTACCACTGGCTTCGAAACCGGGCACAAATGTAGAAGATGACGCAGCTGCGCAGTTTTGTTTTGCTACTCCACACAGTGGAGGCCTGCAAACTTTCGCTACTGACAGCACTTTCTTCACACATGACTAGCTCAAGAAGGTCCATCTTGGTGCACTTGAGAAGTTGCAGTGAAATCGAAGGAAAGCTTTGAAGCCATGACATGTACCCACTTACAGGTGCTATATTGCCTAATCGCACAAGTTTCATACTGGTGAGAAGGCTGCAGGGCTTCTCACATTATGCGACAGTTATTTCGATCGCATAGTCTCGTGAAACTTTTAAAAAAGTATATAGCTGGGATGTTGCTTAAGAAAATGTAAGCTTTCTTTTTTTTTTTTTTCACGAAAGACTCGAAGGAAATCTAGTGGGTGGCTTGTCTTCACAGCAACCTGTTGGCCTGCTGGATAATTTTTAGGTAAGGTAATTATAGGTATATAGTAAGGGGTTTATAGGTAAGGTTGGCCGATTTATAGGTAAAGTCCTCTTGTCCATTTTATAGGTAATCAAATCGGCATCCATGTTTAATTACTCTTACAGTTTCTCTCAACCCAGCTAGATTGGAAGACGATGGCGATTTAATCTACTCATGCAGGCTTTGGCCTAACTGGAGCTTGGTCATTATTCCCACCAACTTAGCAATTACTTAACCAGGGATGGGCTGGTATACCAAACCAGGCGGTACTGAAACTAGGTATAGCCAGCTGAGATGGAGTTCATAATAAATATATATAATTTAGAAAGAACTATGTGGAAAGGTTGTTGTATTTCTCTATGATGCACCTTTCTATGAAATCATTGTTTTATGGTGGTGCCTTAATTTTATGTTGCACACTCATTCTAATCATTGTGCCTTTACGCTGCCCCGTATGCTCACTGTGCTAACAGGCCACAGCGAGTAACACATGATGCACAGATTTAAATTTCACTTAAACATTTTCGTAAACTAGAGCACGCATTCTTCTAATTGCGTGATACCTTCACTAATTCAGCAGGCTGAACTTTATACTACCATGAAAATGGTGCTCGCTGTTTTTCTGAAATTTTTTTGGAAAATGTAAAGGAAAATAAATTTTCAAGGGGTTTTGTTATACAGAACATTTTGGTGGATTTTCTCCACTATGGTCACATTAGCTTGTCGATGTGTATACTACCAGATTGGCTGATGACATATGTGACCTACCATAAGCTACAGTTTGGAATTTTAGGCTGCCCTGAGGACTAAGCTTACTGAATTTACATTTCATAAGTACTAGGAAATGACAGAGCGCACACATTTTGAGATGCTTGCTTACTCAACTTTGTTACGCATTAGTTAAACTGCAGAAAGTGAGTTTTGCTTGCCAAAGTAACCCGGTTCTGCACCCTACAGAATAAAAGTCTTGCTGCAGTGTTCAAAGCAGCAAATTTATGTCGTTTATGTTAATGTACTGTTTCTCTAACTGCTATTTTCACTATTAAAGAGGCCCTGCAATACTTTTTCAGCATAGTCAAAAACTCTGCCAACTGGTGGTCAAGCAATCTGAGAGCATGGAAGCCAAACATTGTGGCACCATGTGGTGTTGAATTTGCAATTAATGTTTAAAATCAGCTAGAAATCCATCTTTCTTTATGTAAGTGATGCAATGCACCCAAATGACTGCATTATATACTCAAAATCACTACCCTTGGCCGATTTGAGCATCATGAGCTCCATAGTTATCAAGGCTGCCACAGGAGGGCGCCACGTGCCCACATGTGCTCGCGATCACGCTGAAAGTAAGGCATGCATTTGAATAAAGAAAAAGTGCTCAAGGTCATAGTGTGCATGTGACATAACTTCTTTCTTCCACGTCATCCTCCTTGCTTATCTTCCAGTACACTTGTCTGGACGAGAGAGGATAGAAAGAAATTGCAGCGTGCAACAAAAATTTGTAACTCTGCTTCTACTTGACCGAATCTAAAATTTTTTGCGTGGTAAATTAGTGAGACAATAAGTTCTATTAATGAAGCTGTTCTATGGCTACTTGGAAAAGTGTTGCAAAGCCTCTTTAACGCATGGCTGCTAAAAACTTTTGTATATATAAATGAACAGAATGTATATAAATGCAGGAGGGTCTTTTTTTTTTTCCTTTGGATTTTCATTAGTTTGGAAAGTACGTGTAATCGTAACATTGCAACGTTCACAGAGTGGACATCTTGATGCTTTGTTGCAGGACAGCCAAAACACGACATTGAGTGTAAGCACTGACCAATGTATCTTAGCGAAATGCTAGTTGAGGCAGTGAACGGTCCGAAAAACATTAGAATGGGCATTTTTCAATGAGTGAGTAACATGAGTAAATTGTATCTTAGTAGCTAAGGAATGACTGCCAAGCTGTGGTCTCCTGTTTAAGTACTGGATGATACTTGCCTCACAGTGCTTGTTCATTTGTATCACATGACGAGCTTTTGCAATACCATTGTTAATTATGCATGTCATTCTTCTCTCAAGTGGTATAGTCTATAGTATGCTTGTCAGTTTGTGCCAAAAACAAATGCGTGTAATGTACAACATTATATGCTGCCCTCCTGGCCAAGTCTGGATCTACTGTACATTTTGTCTTTATAATTATGTAATGGTTTCTTGTGGCATGTGGAAAGCAACTGCAAGCACTATATGTCCCGCTAATGCTGCAAAGCTTGATTTATTCAAGTACAAACATTGTGCGAGTTGATTTATTGTTCAACTGCCTTTTGAAATGACAAGGTGAATGGTGTGTGTAAAATTGATCACAGTACACTTTGTGTGAGTTATGCAGTTTTATTGGTACAGTTACGATTACGCTGTTATCCTTATAAAAAAAATTGCAGACTAAATAATGGCATACGTTTGGTGCCATAATTTTTTTTCTCAGGACTTCACTGCCTGAATGATGTTCTCTAAACAAATATACTACATGCTGCTTTACATTGCAGGAAAAGCAATTCTTGGTATTTACAGACAAAAATAAAGTTGCGCATTTTACCTATCCAACACCCCCTTTTTTTTTACTACACGGATAAAGCATTGCATGTGCCAAAAAACCTCTTGTGGTGTATTAATTCGCAATCACCATGCATTCAATCAAGATGATCTTTTTTTGTAATATTTTAAACTGCTTCTGAAGTGGCTTTAGGTATTCATTATATTGAATGAGTGAATGGACATGCTGCGTGCCAAGATTTTGGAAGCGAATGTGGGAAGCTTGTCTTATGTTTTTTTGTTTGTGTGTGTGTGTGTGCGTGTGTGTGTGTGTGTGTGTGTGAATTGTCAAAGCTTGCACCCTCATACTTGTAAATGTCAATGTGATCACTTGTCTTGAATAAAATGTGCCAGTGTTTACCTGTAAACAGGGTTTGTTTTCACATCCACTTTCAAGTAAACGAGAAATTCAGCTCGGAAATGCCACCTGTATTAGACAACTGTCAGAGCATCTCGGGGCCATTGGCATAAATATTCGTAACAAAAAGTGATCCCAAAGTGACCCTTTGAGACCTCGTTTATGTCATAATAAGGCATCCCACAGTGTGGGTCAATGAAATAATTCTGACCACCTGCAGTTCGTGTAAGTACGTAGGTATGTACATAAAATAAAAGTATGTAGATGTGCATACATTGTACAAATTCATTAAATCTAAGCACATGGGCGTGTTTACGTTCTACAGATGGTAACAAAAAAGCACATTGCAAAATTCTGTAAAAGAATCTGGAAAATCGGTGCCTCCTCCATTTTTTCCAACGCCAGTCCCATGCAACCGATCCAGCCGTTCGCCCTTCTCTCGATCCTCTCGCCCTTTCTTATTATCACCCGTTGGCAGACTTCGCGGCCCCGCATCGGAAGTCAGAGGTGGTAATTTTATTTAGTTGCACTATTTAAGCTTTTCGTTGCCGTGGGACAGTGCGAAAAGGATATTATCATCATCGTAAACCTGTACGCGCTCGATTCGTCCTCTTCAACTTGTGCTTCGCTTACGTAAATACCTGCGCCGACTTGCCCGCCGTAGTGCAATACAAGAACTATTAGGGGCGTCTCTTCCACGCGTCCAAAAATCGCGAGATTTCACGGAACAACTATAGTTATTACAGTTGTATTAAGCCTATGAATAATGGAACTGTGACCCTTCCTTTGTCTGAAAGTTATATAAAGAATTTACATGTATTTTTGTGAAATTGTTTTGAACCCCGTCGCCCCACCGAAATAGTATTAATATGTCAACATTGAACTTAATTCTTACCTTTGACTGCGTTTTATACGGACCTACTAGTATATCTTCACTAAATGATGGAAGCCGAGACCTCGTTTGCCTTAGTAAACCGGTGACATACCGAGATACGAGCACCGACCCCTAGACCACCATAGCCTCAAGCGCTGTATGTGCTATAGCCGAATGTACCTGAATCTCAAAGACAGGCGTGATCTATGTTTCAGTATGGTGGTGTACATGTTCCACCAAACGAGGGGAACCTCTTTCCAGGTCTCGCGGGGAGGCGCTCGCGGGGAGACGCTTTCTGGGCAGACAACGAACGAAACACAAACGACGGCGACGAGCGCTGTACTTTCAACAACCTTTATTGGAAAATTGCACGTATATTTACACCACCCGACAGACGTCTTACCCGCTCATGCGTAGGTATACGCCATCCCTATGGATGAGCTGTAGAGACGGCACGACTACACAACCCTACCCCACATAAGAAAATGCGTTCCGATTCTACGGTTTCTCGGGTGATACGTACTTTGCCTTTTTTACCACAGCCGTACTGCAGTTCAATTGTTGATCCCGACGGTCTCTAGCAAGCAAACCTTCAAAATATTTCCCGTCACGCGCGTTCTTCACATGATTCGCATGCTCCCTTAGTCTATCGTTTACGCAATGTCCGATTTCGCCGTTCAAAGTTCAACCATGGCCTCCGAGACTGCAGGCGCGCGGCGTCGCGCGCCCGCATCTCGGATGCCATGGTTCAGCGTTCGTAGTCGTCGTTCGTGTTCCGTCCGTTCTGCGTTTTCTCCGCTGCAATGCACCCTGCTACCGGCCAGCGGCCATGGACGCTTACGGCTAATGTAACAATTGATGTGTCGTTTTGTTGATTTAGCCTGTTGCTTTATTTACCCGAACCCGTCGTAGCTTAGAAGACTCGAGCTACACCATGGTACGCGCGCGCCCGCCGCTCCTCCAGCCCGGCCGTGGTTACACAAAGCACCAACGCCGTCTGTCAATGTGTCCCCTTCTATCTCGACCCGGTCCACGCGCTGGTTACTGTTCTCTATAATGTGATCGGAAATGCGAAACAGCGCAAACGAAGAGTATGCAGGAAATGTGCACAGCGCAGACGCTCAACTGAGTTCTTTATTGGAAAGGCACCACTCACGTGCTTAAGTTGCAACTAAATACATGCGCCCCATATGGCCGCGGCAACGGTAACCGCAAAGCCCAAGCGCTAGCTTGTCAACGCAACGAGTAGGACGGTGTTATCCAAGCATATATCCAGGATTTTTTTTTTCGTGGGGGGAAGGGGGGGGGGAGGCACGTGTTGAAAACCACTAAGAACACCTATTTTTATTTCTTGTCTGTAAAACACCCCCCCCCCCCCCCTTCCATACAAATCTCGGAGGGGAGGCTAGACCCCCCTGGCTACGGGCTTGCTGTCACCCATTTCACACCCCACCTTTCTACGAACCCGTATTAACCCTTCAGAGAACGGTGGCTCCGATTAACAAAGTTTGAAAAAGCAAGGCAGCCCTTCGAGTTCAATGTACTGTTGCGATCATGGAAAACGAGCGTCACGCTTACTCGATGCAATGCCGGCCCGTCCGTCGTAAAGACCCCATCGGCGATATCGCGGGAGATACGCCGGAGTGGCGGTGGCGTGGAGCTTCTCGGTACGCACGTTAGTTATCCTCGAACGAAAGCAAAACTCGTGAGACGATGAAGGCGCGTATCAAGAAATAAACGCAGCCTCACTGGTAACGCCTGAGCCGCTGAGCGCGGTGAAACGGCTGGTCTATGTGAACTTTCTGGTCTAGCAGCGAAGTCGAAGCCACAAAGGGGAAAAAAGAGAGGGCAAGGGTTAACACGGCAAAAGGAACAAGTAAACCGAAAAGGATCTCGGCTAGAACGGGCAGTATGAATTCTCGCCCACCATTCGTATGGCAGATCCCGACGCGTTGTGCAGATAGATTTGTGGGGTTTAACGTCCCAAAACCAGGATATGATTATGAGAGACGCCATAGTGGAGGGCGCCGGAAATTTCTACCACCTGGGCTTCTTTAACGTGTACCCAAATCTGAGCACATGGGCCTACAACATTTCCGCCTCCATCGGGAATGCAGCCGCCGCAGTCGGGATTCGATCCCGCGATCTGCGAGTCAGCAACCTTATCCACTAGACCACCGCGGCGGGGCGACGCTTTGTGCAGACTTGAAGTTCAGTCGTTCTCTTGAAATGTGGGGACAAGCCGACGAGGCGAACCCCGGGGCACGCCGCCCACCAAAACCACGTTACGCACTAAAAAAGACTGAAACGAAATAACGGCGGCGGGAGCTACACGGGCATTTTGGATAGTGCCCTCATCGGGTGAACACGGCCCTAACCGAGCTAACTGTAAGCTATGCCTGAAAGCTGTACACGCACCAGTGTCACGGGGAGCAACGTTTCTAAAACCTGGTCTAGAAACGTCGACGGAGAGTGCGGACCCAAAAAGAGGAGGCGGTTCAGGGAACCCGCTAACTGAAGTTCCACGAAGCCTAGCTTAAAGAGATACTGAACAAAATTTTTGCCGCCAAGATTTTCGACCAAATCGAAAGAGTCAACCTCACTTCCAGGCCGATACTAAAAAAAAAAAAAAAAAATGGCGCATCTAATGCGTTTCTTCACAACCTGCCGCGTCTAGCGGCCGCGCCCTGGACTAGCGGAGGTGAAGTTTGGTGACGTCACAAACTTCCGAAGCGGGCAAGCCAACAATGCCAGCCGTCGCCCGTCTCTCGACTCGCTCATTTCCCCCTTCTTCGTTTCCCAGAACAGGTGTGAACAGCACCGGTAGCGAACAATGCTCCCGAATGGGCTAAAGCATCACCGCTTTTGTGTGAAGGGGAGAGTGGGATGAAAGGAGAGGCAGAGAAAAGAAAGAGGAGGACAGGAGCACGTGCATGCGCCTCGGCGATTGTGACGTCACGGCTCGCGCTCACTTGCAGCCGCCGCGCGCTGACAATCCATCAGAAATTCAGCTGACAGTTAAAAAATACAGGAAATTAACTGTGTTTATCGGAACAGCCACACCTTTCGAATAGCATTTCGAAGTTTTGTCAGTTTTTTCTCTAATTTTATTCCTTTAAACTTCGGTTGAACTGAGGGATGTTCGCCGAACATCTCTCGTTTGGGGGGGGGGGGGGGGGGGGGGGGGCTTACCAATGTTTTTGATGCCGAAGACGAAGCTTCCAGTCGTCCTCGATGAGTTCCGGGTGACGCGGTTTCTTGTACGTAGTTACAGAAGTCCAAGTAAAGTCCACACACACATGCACACACATGAAAGAAAGTTGAAGCGCGACTCGCATGTACTGCTATCGCACGTGCGCCTCGCTCCCGAACGTTGCGACCAGCCGTATTGCATGGCGCCGAAACGACGAACAGCGCCGTCTATAAACAGTGCCGTCTACAAAATACCCAGCATGACGAGCAGCAAACGAAAAAAAGAAATGGATGCGTGCCGCCGCCGCGTACGATATTCGCGCATGCGTTGTTGCAGCCAAATCTTGTCGCGCCATTACGTCACGATATCGTTCGTCGCCGCCTTATCGTCGAGATCTGGCGCGCGGTGTATAGTGCAGGAAGGAAATCGAAGAAAGGAAGTGCAAAAACAAAATCGACGGATGATTGTCGGGCTCGGAACGTTCTAGGAGCACCTAAACTGCAAAGCTGAAGCGCCCTTCCCCCCCCCCCCCCCCCCCAACTCCCGGATCGCTTCCACGCAGTCGCATTTTCGCGTGCACCTCGCGCTTTTGAAATGCGATTCTGTGACGTGAGCAAATGTTGCCGCTACAGTTATATTCGTAGTCGTTGCTCTATTACTCTTGTCACGCTGCCTTTTTCTTGAATTCGTTGCAATTAATGAGAAACCGCGTTCTGTTTCTTCAACGCGTACCTCAAGACTGTCGTTGTGGAACATTGCATATGTCGGGTTCGTTCACGCCTCGACATAGATGGAGGCGAAACGCCGGAGGCCCGTGCACTGTGTGTGCGCGTTCAACCAGAGATCAAATTTCCGGCGCCCTCCGCTACGCCGTGCCTCATATCGTGGTTTTGGCTCGTAAAACCCAAAAATATATAAGGAAAGAAGTGTAAATTCAAAGGGACACTAAAGGCAACTATCAAGTTAATTTTGATTGTTGGAATAGCGGTCCAGAAACCTCGTAGTGTTACGTTTGTGCCAAGGAAGTGCTTATTTTGAAATAAATTTACCTTTTAGTGGTCCGTACTGGGTTAGCGCACTTCAAATTACGCGCCTCAAGTGGAGTGTGTCACGTCTAGAGTGATCTGAAAAAGCACCACGCGAATACATGGGAGGAGTGAGGGCCTGTTCGCGGTAAACTCCCGCGCCGCGGCGCTCTATGCCGACTTCGTTTAAGGTCCCTAGATGAAACAAGTTCCGTTAGGATTACTGTATATTCTACCTCTAGGTAGCATATACAGTATATGCTAACCGACGCCTCCTCTAGGAAGATGCCTGCCGCATGAGAAAAAGAACAGCTGCCACACCCTTTCTCTTCTTTATTTTGAAAATGTTCTCGGTCGCTAGCGTCACCTGTGGCGGACGGTGCAAAAACGCAACACTTTGCATAGCCTCCGAAACTGTGGTGCACAGTTGCAGGTCTCAAACAACTCTCGACTGACGCGCCCCTATGGGCCGCAGAAGAAAAACGCCTAGCTGGGTACCGCCCGTCGCCGTGATGATAGTGTCGGTCGCGAGCGCCACTGCGCGGAGCTTGTTTAAAACTGAAGGCAGCCCAACTCCGCTGGGAGCGCGAGCCATTCCTCGGGCATCTTTCTAGAGGAGGCGTTGTGATAACCTAAAGGCAGCATATACAATAATTCTGTATATGCTACCTAAATGTAGCAGTAACTCTAGGCCCCGTGGGCTTTCTCCGCGATGAAAGCCGCGTCGAAGCGGCGGGCGTCTGCTACGAGCCCGATATTTCGGCCGCTATTAGCCAACGTTGCGGTAATATGAGAAATATTTATTACTGTGCCGCGCCAACACTATACTGTAGTGACTCACGACACAGGTAGCTCTGGAGCGGGGATCTTGTATATTTTTTTTCAGCTGTTTTGTCACAATTCAAAAGTGTTGTGGCTCGGGTGAGTTGGTTATCCATGAACTTAGCTTGTATTATCGCGGCACAAGTGAAAAACACAAGGAAAAGACGACACAGACGTCAAGAAAGGTAGGCACTAAACTTCCAACTGTTTACTTCATGCCCTTCACATTCATCTTATACATGCGTAAAAACACAACTCATCTTGCACGTGGTCTCATTCCAAAAAAACGTCATTTGTTTATCCGTCAGTGCAATTGATGGCGAGCTCGCACACAAGTTTCCCATATCTGCTATAGCCTCAGCTTCTTTAATTTCACGTGTCGTCCGATTTCGAGACTGGCCGATAATGATGCAGCTACACAGACCAGGGGAGCACCCATTACCTTTGCACTGCGCTGCTAGGAAACCTCCCGCTGAAAGTTTCATTCTTGCGTTGTAGTGATCTTCGCGTAATCTATCATTAGGACACCACTTGGTCTGCTCTATATAGTACTGTGACTGTACTATATCGTGCAGTCACAGACTCAACAAGGATTTTTAAACTCTAGACAAAACCCGCGATGAAACCAAGCGTTCGCGCCTTTCATACATTACGGGCATGTCTCACAGCCACTGTTGCCTTTTCCGTTCCCAAGTATGCTGTCGTTGTCCGTACTTGGGGTCTTCGGCGTGCCACAGTCACTTCGGAGCCACTTGTTTGGCTAATTGTTTCCTTCATGTTTAGTAGACCAGAGCTAAATATAGAGGGATTTACCCAGTTTCCGTGGTACATGCTAGTTTATTATAGTTTTCTGGCACGCAGCATGCAAGATTTAGCATCGCTGCTAAATTTGAAAAGCTCCGATGTAGCGCTACATCAAAAGGTTTTCAACCACCAATGAGCCCATATTGCAACTCTCACTGTTAAAAGCAAGTTTGGGACTTACCGTGGGGTGGTCAGACAGGAATTGCAGTATACGTGAAGCTGTGTTCAACTCTAGAATCCCGTTTTCCCCAGACACGGCTCAGTATTTAATTAAAATTCACCTTTAATTGCAAACTTATACATCATCTTCATAAACCACAAACAAAAAGAGTTTTCTTGCTCAAGCTTTTTCGCACTGCAGTTCATTTTGCAGATACATAGTGCTTCATTATTGCGATTTGCAGCTGCTTATAAAGTCTAACGCTCTTTAATGAATAATCGATACAACCAAAGTATTCTCGCACTAGATACGGCTTCAATATTACATTTGCATGAGAATACCTAAATGGAACCGCCTTGGCAGATGCCATTGACTGCGGTAAATTCGTACTGCTGGATCTCACCGTACATTCCAATCTTGGTCACGGAAACGGGGCCGGCGGTCTTATAGAACGAACCTACTTCACGGAGGTACACAGGACTTCACAGGGTTCTCCACTCCGAAATGTGCATTTGATTGAAGCAATCTGTCTTCTTTCTTGCTATACTGTCATCAGGACGGGTTAGTCTTGGCAGTGGCAGGGTGGTAAAGTGGTGCTTGGCTGGCAGCAGGCGCCCTCTGGTGATTGAATGCCGCAGACCCGGCCGCAGTGGTGGCAGTGGTAATCGGATTAAGCACCCTCTTTGCCGTTGGGTCTGAGGTCGTCAGAGGCTGCAGAAATCGCGGGTCAACCAGCGGGGCGTCCCTAGGGTTAAAAGTGAGTCGAGTCCATCAGAATGAGTAAAACGGAACGATTTCAGCTTAATTTCTACCACACACCACAAAAACTCAGTTAAGGCATTACGTATGACACCTTGAAGGGTCACTCAATTTGTGAACCTCTGTTTTTTGTTCTTAACTGTGGCTGCTGACTCGACAGCAGCAACAAAACTGTTGTGCCCCAGTGCAAGATGATCGTTCAACTATATGCTATACTCGGGGACAACTTTCTGTGGCAGTGAAGGGAAGGCTATGAGGGCGAAGCTACCGCTCCTGTACTCCTCCGCGAAGTAGTCTGGTTCGGCTCGCGTTTCAAATGACAGCCGTGGTCAGGCAATCCCACACCACACAATTTGATACATCTGCTTACACAGCTATTTGCGAGTGAAATTCGACAGATGCTCCTTCGGCGAGTAGTCAGAATCGTTGGAGGGCGATGCGTGCTTACTTAAAGACGAAAATGCCATTTTGACTGTGAGGTGCACGCAAAAAAGTGTGACGTTTTCAGACGCAGATATAAATGCGAAGCGACTCTTCAGAAAGCGAACACAGATAAGAATATCTCCTCGGTGCGTGCAGCGTCTCTTAATAAACAGCACCCAGTGGGAAATAATGTCGCTCTTTTTTTATTATTTTCACACGGAAAACACGGGTGCATTTGTGGCACTATATTCTACAGCGGTGGCGCACGCCCACTTTGGCTCAGTAGTCTTCCCTTCATTGCCACAGAAAGTTGTCCTCGAGTACAGTACGTTACGACCAGAGGCACTTTCGATTTCGAAGAGCCCTCATGGACCCCCTGGTGTAGTCGGCCTACTCGTTAACAAATACCGTATTTACTCGCGTAATGAACGCACAAACGCACCCACAATGTCAGTCATCAAAATTTGGATCCCCCCCCCCCCCCCCGCGTAATAAACGCATCCCCTACATTCCTCCGCTGCTAACGGACACCTGGCGCATCTTCACATGTTGGCTCTCTTCCGTTTTGGATTACTTTGCTGACCCCCCTCGACCACCTCGGATCGCTCTCTCCCCCTCCCCCTTTCGCCGGTTGCGGGGTGCCTATTGCTTTTCTTTCTCTCTGTGCGCGGCACATCCCCCCCCCCCCCCCCCGTCTTATCTGTGTGCCACAGGGGAGTTCACGAAAGGTGGGAGTGTAGAGACATCCCAGCTGATAAGCACACAGCAAGGGAAGGTCACCAAACGGCCAACCACGTCCGTCGCTTCTTGCACCACCCCCCCCCCCCCCTTATTTTTTTAGCTTACTTTCTTTTTTCTTCACTCTAACTGTCCCTTCATTCCCCCCCCCCCCCCCCCCCCACGAGTGCACGCTTTTGGGCGTCCCGAGGTCACAAGCAAATACCACTGTTAAAGTTAAAAGGTTGCCAAAAAAAGATAGTCGCAAAGCGTTTTTATGGCCCCTGGACCGCTTGCAGAAGATAGCGCCATCAACCACCGAAGATGAGTAAAGTGCAACAAAGAAGCTGTTTCCAAACGCGATGTAAATTGCGAAAGGCTAAGCGACCTAACTTTTCTTTGCATTACCGCATTTTTTTCCTTCTCCCGAAAAAGTTTTCATAAAATTTACCCGGCGTAATAAATGCACCCCACAACTTTGCTCCAATTTTTCAAGAAAAAAAAGTGTGTTTATTACGCGAGTAAATATGCTACTATTTAATCATCATTGGGAGGCTGCAAGAGCCAGTGACGTCAAGGAACAGCTCTTGCTGTTTTCAGCACTGCTGCGTTATCTGCTGTGTTGGGCGCTACAAGCAATTGTTTCCTCGATCCTCAAAATCCCTTGCTTATCTAGTGTGGCAATGGACGAAGGAGCTGGGAAGAGTGTAAAAAAACGCGGCATATCCACGAAGTGAATAATGACGAGTGGGCGAAGCAGTGGGGTCGTCTTGGTGCTACCGTAAGTCCCCCGTGGCAATGACAACTCACACACGTAAATGAGTGCCAAGCAGTGTACAGTTATATACAATGTTTATTGCTCATAACTGGTAGTGTTGCGCTGAGTTCTGAATTTCATTTTGCCTTCAATATTACTGCTTCGTGGCATTGGATCTAGTCTGAAGTTGGCAAAGACAAGGTCTGGGCACGCTCCCCTGGTGGTTGTTGGCTGTTTCCAGTCATACGAAATGCATCATAGAGCCCCCCATATCGAGACGTCATCTACAGCACAACCAGTCAGTGTCCATCATCTTCATCATCATCCACGTCATCATCATGATGTATAGCGGGTACCTTGCAGGTGCTGTTCCGTGATGGCAGAAAGAGAATGTCTCGTCGGGAACACACTTGCTCTTCATCGTCGTGAGCGTCATCATCATTCTAACGGGGTAAAGTGGGTACTTTGCATGTGATGTGCCGCGATTGCAGAAATAGAATGTGTGGTCTCAAATGCACTTGTTCTTCATCATCGTCATGACATATAGTGGGTGTCTTGAATGTGCTGTGCCGTAATTGCAGAGACTGTGCGGTGTCGAATGTGCTGGTTCACCAGCATCATCGCCAGCAACGGCTACCACGCACAGCATCGATTTTTTGTTTCAACACATTCACGAACTTCAAAACTCTATAGGAATACTTTATAGGCTGAGTTCGTGGTTGATGTCACACAGATGTCACCTCTGTGTTCAGATCAGTACAATGCAGCTGCCAAATTTTGCCCAAATTTTCTTGTCGCCACTCCTTTGAAGAGCCCAGCAGCACTTTTTGAGCGTGGTCAGAAAACACTGCCGATTGATAGTCGAGGCTACCGAGAACATGCGAACCAAATATCATAGCACAGCACGCAGCCTGTAATTTCCAATAAATTCTCAAAATCAACTAAAGATTGCTTTCTCTTCCAGCTAAAAATGATGCTACATGCTCAAAATGATTGTACCACAGGCCCAAGTATCGCACCATTCGCTTTTTGAGCATGGTGCACTCGGTAGTTGCTGGGGTCGTGATGTGTCTGCGATGACACTGAAAAGCCATGCGTTTGAAGAAGAAAAAAGAAAGAGAAAAAGTGCCCAAGGTCACGAGGCTCGTGTGATGTATCTCCTTCCCTTGTGCCTTCCCTCCCTGAACCAGAGAAAAGCAAGCAATTGCAGTGTACGACAACTCTGCTCGTACTGAACGAATTCTAAAATTTTTTGAAGCAGTGAATTCAGTAAACAATAAGCTCTTCACTGAATCTATTTCATTGCTACTTGGTGAAGTGTGGCCAGTTCCCTTTAACGTAACCAGTTTCCCACTCTTAATCCCTGGCTTCGCCCTGTTTCCAAGTATAGATGGGATTAAAGATAGCTGAACCTTTTCAATTGACCTATCTTCTCATTTATGGCCTACATTATCATGAAAAAGAGAGAGAAACAAGCACTAATACTGCACAGCCAAAAGTGAAACTCTCGCAAGCTTATAATATTTATGATAACACTTCCATAACTTTATCTTCTCCAAGGGCGTGAAGAAAGAGAGACAGAACTTCCTTTAAGTATGCTAATAGCGTGCTAGCTTTCCTGGCATAACATGCTACTCCAGATTGGTATGATGTGGAATGAAATTACATGCACTTTCACACAAGTATAGCACATGCAGAAAGCCCACTGAAACACTCAATGAACAAGAAAGGGGGGCCAGCTCACCCAATAGGCCTGGGAAGAACTGGAGATTCTTGAGCCACACCAGGAGTCATATTCGGAAAAGTTGGCTGCAATACACAATCCAAGCAAATGCCAATTTCTCTTGAACTACAGGATTGACTAAATGGGCAAAGTGATCAGCTTTGTTAAGACTCCAGAGTGCACATTAGAGTCCCCCGTGTTATCTTGACCACATGTAGTGTTTGTGTGCGCTGCTGCAACTTGACTTACAGATTTAATCAATCAATGATGTTAGGGAAAAACATTGGAGAGAAGAGACGCATAACAAAGATAAAGGCAGTTTTGGTTATCAACTGCCTGTTTGTTGCACCGATTTCAAGATACATAGTCCAAAGAAAATATTAGAACCTGTAAAGTCATAAATGAATGAAATTATATATGGCAATGTTTCATATACGTGCAGTCACAAGTGATATTACTCCTATGGTACTGCTCCAGTACTATGCAGATGTGATGATTTCTATCATGTGCTTTCAAGCGTTCCTGTGCCTTCCATGTCAGTAGGCACTTCATGGTCAGAAAGTGTGCAATCAACTGAGCAAGAACGTGTTAGTACTTTTGAGTGTGCGTTTTAATGTGACGTCACATCTCCAGCTTGCACAGAACTGACGAGACATGCAAAAATGTTTGTTGCCACCAAACATTGTTAAACCGAAATGCGCGTGCGCACGTGCACGCACGCACACACACACACATACACACACATATGGGAAAGAAGTGTATACTTAAGGGCTCGTTTTTCCGTGCTTTGACACAATAATAAAGAAATCTAGCAGACAATATTGCCAAGGAAAGTATAGGGGAGGTTATTAGACCAAATTGTAAGGTAAATGTGAAGGAAGAAAAGTGGGTGAAAAGATAACTTGTGTGGGCAGGAACCAAACCTGCGACCTTCGAATGACGCGTTCGATGCTCTACCACTGAGCTACCACGGCGGCTATGCTCCCAGCCACTTTATTGGGTATATATGTGAATTTAAGGGGGCAGACTGGTCTTTGGGACCAAAAAGTGTCAAAAAAATTCATTCTTTAAAAGTGACCTATTTGGTTTTTGCAAGTATTTTTCTATCTCTCAGAAAATTTTCACACACCAGGAAGTGGTAATTTTTTTAGAATAACATTCTAAATGTTCAGATTCTTGGTGCTGTTAACATGCAGAACCTGCAAAAAAATGGGGAACCGACTTTGAGGCTTCTTTATGATTTTCTGGCACCTGCTTTAGAACCTCTGCTACGAATTTAGGAGCACATTTATGAGGATTGGAAAACATGTGCACCATTATTGTTGCTTTTTGAAGAAGCTGTGTGTTTTGAGTTTTTTACATTTTTCTAAAAAAGTTCATTTAGGACTGTTCAATTTTGAGGCCCCAATATCTCTGCAGCTAGGGCAGATACAACAATAATTTTTTTGCAATGGAAACCTGTATGGGTGTAGAATGCAAGTATGGGAGCACAATTTTGAGCACAAGCCTTTTTAATTAATTACTCATTATAAATGTAAGACAATTCCAACTGCTTTTGAAAATGAATAGTTCATTTTGCTGTAAAGTAATCAAGAAAGGCCTAAAAATAAAAACTCTTGCATACTATCAATATATAGTCATTAGTCTATGTTGGCATATCTTAAATATAATTTTTAACTAAGCACTTTTTCTATGGCGGCATTAAACAATAAGGGGTGAGCATAAGTTATCTCAGGAAAAAGATGAGTTACAGGAAAAATTATTAAATATTTGAAATCAGCAGAAAAAACTGCATAATCCTGTGCAGATTTCTAAGACCAGTCTGCCCCCTTAAACGTGGGAGTGTCAGTCAGCGCCATCTGTAGACATGGCGGTGAGTGTGGCACACTCTTTTATGAGCCTGTGTGGCATCACGTAGCACGTGAGCTTATTACGAGCTGGCAGCTGACCAATAGTCCCTCGTATACAACCTGAGGCACCAAGTCTGCCAGTACGAGACCCTCGTTAATGAATAAGGCAAAGAAGTGGATACCTAAGGGCTTGTTTTTCTGTGTTTTGGCACAATATTAATTAAATCTAACAGACAATAATGCCAAGGAATGTATAGGGGAGGTAATTAGACCAAATTGTATGGTAAATGTTCGATGCTCTACCACTGAGCTACCACAGTGACTATCCTCCCAGCCACTAATTAATATTATGTATATATATATATATATACCATGAAAGCTAGGAAGGTCTGGTGATCACCGCTCGTCCTTTGGTCCCAGCAAGTGCACGCATCATTTGTTGCATTGAACTCCCGCTAACTTAGGCGTACTTGGCCGCCCACCGAGTGAACGTATTTTCTCAGGCATGACACCCACATTACATACAGTAAAACTGGAGCTAAGCTTGCGGTGCGGGTAACACGACAATATCTGTGCACACACACACATATATATATATATATATATATGGATAATTTGGAGCTAGACTCAAATGCGAATCATACAAGAGTGTTGTTGTGCAAGTTGGCTTCATGGCACACCTTCGCGGTTATGCAAGGAAGGTGGTTTTTCATTCAATACATAGGTCTGTGTACAGCACGGGAGCCGTCGGTTTGTGCTTCACCTTGAGGCAGTGTCTGGCTCTGACGTGGTCAGCCTGATTACTAAGCCACACATGCTCCTGACACACCGTGTCAGAGCCCGAAACTGGCTCAAGGTGTCGCCCTGCAAAGCAAAAACCTGCTGCTCGCGCACTCTACACAGACAAAGCTGCCGCTGCACCTTTTTCTTTCTGCCGTGGTTTGTAGGGTTGGGGAGTAGCAGCTTGAGCTAGTTGATGTGTCGTGATGATTGCTATAGCGCAAACTGAGGACTAGAACACAGAGACAAACGAGGATGAGCACTCGCCCTCATCTCTTTCGGTGTCCTAGTTTTCAGTTCACGATATAGTGATCAACAAAATAATCATCCTGTAGTGGATGGCGCTGATTATATGCAGGGCCGGGTTATATAAAAAAAATATGAAATTCAGACTACTCGTGGAGCATGCCGGATGTGCAACGCCGCGCACGAGCACGCCAAAGCTTCGCCAGAGGTCAACTGAAAACTAAGAGTCGAAGCTCCACACTATCACGGTTATCAGCGAGTGACAGGAAAGCTGGAATGCTTCAAGCCATTTTGAGAGTTTAGTTTTGAGACTTCTGCTGTGCTAGCTGTGCACATTGAGAACTTATTCACAATCGATGATGGCGATGATAGACACTGGTTTTCGGTGCAGCGATTGCACCAAACGATAGTTCCATTTTCAATGAGTGTGCATTGACGGTGCGCGGCTTGGAACTTCATCTCTGGTATCTGTGATCGCATCTATTACGATACTAATTGCTACACTGCTTAAAGTCGGAGCCTTTTGAATGCGCATGTACTTTCATGGTCGCCCGTGATCGCGTTCACACGATCGCGTTTGTGTTCTCAGCGGTTGCAGTGGGATGTACATTCAAACCTCGATATGACAAAGAGGGATATAGCGAAAGAATGGCTATAATGAAGTAAATGAAGAATTGTCTTGCAATAGATGTACTGTTAGGCATATACCTTTATAACAAGCTTTTGGATATAACAAATTTATTTTCGATTAGGATGCAACTTAATGTTTGAGTTTAGTTGTGCGTGGGCTAGGTGCGTGCTGGTCGCGCATGTGCCTTCATAACGCGGAGGCTGTCATTGACGATTGCAGGGTTAGTTGCGACGAACAGTAGTTTAGTTTTGAACGCTACGTTAAAAACATGCATGAGCTCTTCAGCGATTCTATCGCGGCCAGCACACGCATCAAACCCACCAGCAGCATTACGGTAGATGGACAATCTGCCGCTGAGCACCTCAACGACGAAAAATTTATCAGAATGTGCAAGTGATTGCAGAAAGCGTGTATCCGATTAAGGCACGGATTTTGCGATGTGGCCACGGAGCTGTGGAAGTCACGAGCCCACAGGAAATGGTCGAGCCGCTAGCATAATTTCAGAGCAATCCTAGGCAAGCTCCTTTTTTTTTTATCCAGTAGCAATAAACAAAACTTTATTGAAGTGGAAGTACCCTGAAAAATACCCGTTTTTTTAGAGTTTTGTTGCATTGTTTTCTATTGCTGAGGCGAAATGAAAATTTTTTTGTTGTTGCAGAAATTACATTGTAGCGGAGCTCATTATAGCGGGATTTGAATGTACGCAGCTTTTCAAGACTAAACCACAGCACGGTCTATTTCTGTCATCCCCACCTGCAAAGGTGCAGTGGTGCCACCTGTGCCAGGGAATGCGAAGTTGCGTGCAGTCGGGTAGGTGGGGCTTTGTTGAGCTGCTGGGCTAGTGAACTGAAACAAAAAGAGAAAGAAATTCCACATGAGTGCAAGCCTTCTTAATGATGAAATAACCGGCGAAGACATTCACACAATGCAGTCATGGATACATTGACCGACAAAAAGTAACAGAGGTTGAATGGCAGAGTAATGTTACCACTACCGCGTAAAAAGTAACGATGTTAGTTATAAGTCACTAGAATGAAAAAGCAACCTACAACTTGTGTTGCTTCATGAGCGACTACCTAGTTACTTTGATGTCACGTACTAAGTGATGCCAAACAGGCAAGAAAGAGTGTTCCACACAGCTCGCCACAATGACACAGGTGGCGCTGACTGACACTCCCACGATTAAATGCACATATATACTTTATAAAGTGGACGGGGGAAGGACCGCCACTGTAGCTCAATAGTAAAGCACTGGACGTGTTCATTGAAAGTTGCAGGTTTGGATCCTGCCGGTCACAAGTTATTTTTTTGTCCACTTTACTTTCTTCACATTTACATTACAATTACTTCTAATACCATCCCCTATACTTTCCCTGGCATAACTGTCTCTTAGTTCTCATTGATGTTGTGTCTAACAAAGAAAAACGAACCCCTAAAATTTACACTTTTCTTCAGAAAAATGAGGCAGCGCACGAAAGTCACCTGTTTGCTCGAAGACACACCGGCAGGACTACCCCGTTTGTCCTGCTGTAGTTGGTACGAGTTGAGCTGCTTGTTCAACCACTGGATCACTGAAAATGAGAAGCAGTGATGTGATATGCTGAAGCCATCTTGGAGCAAGTTTTTGGAGAAGCTAGAAGGGTGTTTTGGAGCAAGAAAAATGCTTTTAGAGCATACAAAAGCATATTTGGAAATATTTGGAAGCTGGGAAAAAGGTTTTTGGAGAAGCTTTAAGTGTATTTTGGAGTAGAAAAAGAACGCAGGTTTTTAAATACGGGTGTGTACATATTCGACTTTTTAAATATTTATCGAATAGTGTAAACTATCCAATTCAATTTGCATCAAAATATTATCATTTAAATTATTCGAAATTTTGGAAGGTAAACATTTCTGATTTTTTTCATACTTCCTAGAGACCGCAAAATTATTCTAAAGTTCGGGCAGCCCGAAAAAAAAAAAAAAATAGATTCATGCACGTGAAACTGTCAACATTTGTGAATTCAAAGGAATGAAAATTTACTCCTCACACTACTCCTTTCTCAAAACAGTGCGGCTGCCCATTCAAAACTTCTCGCACATGTGCAGTGGTTGTAAAGTGGTGTTTGGGTTATGATATGTATAACACAACTTACGTTATACATGGTCTGTGCTGTAATAGAAAGAGAGTCTGACCAGCACTGCACAAGTGTGCAAGTTTTTCAACGAGCACATGCACACCGCTACAGTAGAGTGGCGTGTGCACGTAATAACAGGCGCATGCTATGGCATTTAAACCTCAAGAGATCAGTTGCATTTTTTTAAGTACGAAAACACCATGTTTGACACAGCTTTGGTGCAGATTAGTCTAAATGTAGCAGGTTGTTGCAAGATCAGTCGTTTGCAGCAGTTGGGTGCAATGGCCACAGCTATTACATCACTGAACCACCAATGAAAATAACCATGAAAAATGCAAGCTTTGGAGTACAGCTGAGACTTGCATACTGAGTGGTTATGAGCAAAACAACATTAGGGTGTCAAATAGCGAAATTTTTTCTTTGAATGCCACCCACATTACGCACTCAGTTTTGAACAGTAAAAGAAAAATTCTAATGAAACCATGCTGTGTTAGTTCTTCGACGTGACCAACTAAAATCACCGTGTATAAATACATATACTATAAGGTTTTTTTGTTTTTTTTTTCATTTAAGTAAATGCATTTCTGCATTGTCTGATTGGGTTTACTGATATCGCTACTGTAAAGGCAGCAATGCATTGAAATATAAATAGACTAAATGAATCCTTTCACCCTGTCTCCCATTGAAAGCCCTAATAGCTTTTCTACAAATGCATGTTTCTTCAAAGTAGGATGGACACAGCAATTGAATTCCAAACACTGCTTGCTGGACCCTATTTCGCAGTCCCATTGAGCACAAAAGAAAGAAGGGTATTGTGCTTTACTTTCCAAAGTAAGCCACTTAAAATTACTTGCAACTGTATGAACAGACTGCTTATTTTGCATGAGCAAGCACTAGGTGTTGAGGAATTGCGACTCACCATTCTCATTCGTTTTTACTTGCTTCTGACACTCGGTCAATTTCTGCTCAACCTCTTCAACCCGTTGTTGCGCCTGTGCCATCTGAAAGAGACGATAAGACATTCAGCACTTCGGGAAGACCCTTCACACAGGGGTGGAACTAAAAGACACACTGTATGTCAATGACTACATCTACTTGAAATGAATGAATAAATGTATAAATGAATTAAAGATTGGCAGATCCCACGTACAGTGGGAATCGATGATATGCGAAGCACAAAAGAGGAAGGTTGATAAGTCACTTTAATATCAGCACAACGTTAAAATAAGGAAGGTTGATAAGTAACATTAATATCAGCACAACGTTATGAGGTGGACAAACGTAGTACACAGTAAACACAAGTAGAAATGTTATGCGCACCCACGTATCTAGATAAGATGCAATTATGTTGTTTATAGTCGCGTAACAATGGCAACACTAGCGTTTGCAATACCAGCACCCCCAGTCGTAGGCTGATTTATTGTTCTTGTATTAGCCCTTGATGAAAGTGAGCTCGCACACACATAACGAATGAGCGTCCATGTGTGAAAAAGCCGCACATGACACGCATGGAATCATTTGCATGTTAGGACCAGTAATTGATGTTCGTCATACACTGACGATGCTCAGTGCCGACTAAGGCATAAATCAAGCTAGCGAACCGGCCGCATGCGCACATGAGTGCGACATGTAAATCATGCCGTACATGACATGCAAGTCGTGATTTGCATGTTAGGACCTTTGATTTATGTTCGAAATACAGTGACGTCACTTGATGTCAACTAAGGTGTATATCAAGCTAACGAACTGGTTGCAAGCACACCACGAGCGTGGCATGTAAATTATGTAGGCTTGTGCGAATATTTGAAAGAATAGTGGAGTATTTGAGTTCGCTTCAATTTGAATTTAAAATATTGAAAATCTCGAAGCATTCGCAACGAACGAATAAGTGTATGTTGATCCACATGAAACTGCTTGTAAAGGTGGTTTCACTGCATTGTAGGAATGCTAAATCATGGAAGGAAGCACCTGCCCAGAAAAAATCCGCTCTGCCGCGAAGCCTCCCTTCAAATTTAAAGGGGCCCTGCAACACTTATTGAGCATGGTCAGACTGCGCTGCTGATCGGTGGTCGAGGCTGCCGAGAACACGCAAGGCAAATAATATAGCGCAGCACTCGGCCTACGATTCGCAATAAATTTTCGAAGTCAGCTAGAAATTGCTATCATCCCTCGAGAAATGACATAACAAGCTCAAAAATCACTTGTCACAGCCATCGGCTGACTTGAGCACGGCGCGCTCGGTCATTACTGGGGCCGCCACGAGAGGCTGCCGCTTGTCCACGCTTACATGCGCGATCGCACTGAAAGGCCGCGTATTCGAAGAAAAACATAGTAGAGAGAAAAAGTGCTCAAGGTCACAAGACACACGTGACGTTTCTTCTTTCCCTGTGCCATCCCTTTCTGCTTAGCTTCCAGCTTTTTCAACGGAACGAGAGGAGAGAATGTAATTGCAGTGTGCGACAAATTTTCGGAACTCTGCTTGTACTGGACTGATTGTAAAAACTTTGTGGTGGTGAATTTTTGAGGCAACTGCTTCTTTAGTGGCTCCATGGCTACTTAAAAAAGTGTTGCAGGGCCCCTTAGAATGAACATGTTACCGTCAAGTCGATTCCCATTTTATTACGCTTAAAACCTTGTTATGACGGCTTACATGCTCTAAGTATACTAAATTTTAAAATGTTACATATTTCACAGGCACCAAAACTGACATCTTGCTACTACTCAAGGTTGTTTTGACTTCCTTTGAACGAAAAAAAAAAAATGACATTTGCGTAGAGCCCCTATTTCAATTAAAGAAAAAAGATATTGTGCAGGTTAGTTAGGTAGTGATAAATAATCACATTTTTTTATATCTGATACATACCATTCGAATTCTATTCGAATTTATTTGAGCAACATCACTATTTGCTTCGAATTCACTTCGAACCTGAAATTCCCCATTCGTACAAGCCTAAAATTAAGCTGTACATTAGTTACATGTCATGATTATCACGTTTTTGCCTGGCATTTGTGTTCGTCGCCCATTCACATCACGTAATACCAAATTTGATATATGTGAAGCTAGCGAAACGGCCGCAAGCGCACTATGAGCATGGCATGTAGTGATACATGCATGTCATGAGTATCATGTTTAAACGTGTCATTTACATTCGTTGTCCATTTGCGTCCCATAATACCAAATTTAATATATATGAAGCTAGTGAAATGACTGCGAGCACACCATGAGCATGGCGTGCAGTCATGACTTACATGACATGATTTCCATGTTAAGGCCTGTCACTTATGTTCACCATGCAGTCATGTCGTACCATACCAGATTTGCAATGTGTCATGTGAACGAAACCACCGCAACAACAGCAAGACCATGACATTTAATTCATGACATGCATGTTACGATTTTCATGTTATGACTAGTCAGTTATGCTCGTGATACAGTCATGTTATGCCATACCAATTTCGGTATAGATCCCATCATCGAAACGGCCAGGAGAGCTAAAAGTTGTAGGTGGCTAGGTAGATAGATAGATACAGCCAAGGTCGCCAAAGATTGCTAAGAAATGCTTCTTATTTTATAAATGAATGAATAAATAAATAAATAAATAAATAAATAAATAAGAACATATACTGCGGTTGATAAGGTGCAAGCTAAACGAACAGTTTTGCTCACTTTACAGCCCTAAGTTCCACAAGAGAAGAATGGCAATGCAGGGAATTTCGCACATATTAAATGCTCCACAGTTAAATCATGATGTTTTTTCTCAAAAGGAGTATGGTTTAGATCCAACCATTAGACAGAAGAGTGTTCGACACTCGACATCATGGCTACTAGCAACGCTGACTGATGCTCCCACGTTTAAATGCATGTTTATACCCTACAGCTGTCGCGGTAGCTCAGTTGGTAGAGCGTCGGACACCTTATTCACATGTCGCAGGTTTGGTTGCTCCCCGAAGCAAGTTATCTTTTCAGCCACTTCTCTTTCCTCACATTTACATTACATTTACAACTAATAACATCCACTATACTTACATTGGCATTGCTGTCTATTTTCATTAATGATGAGTCTCATGAAGAAAATGAGCCCTTAATAATTTGCCCACTTCTACTGCTCAACCATTAGACAGGCATTCCAAATATTAAACGACAAGAAATCGACTGGGCAGCCCACACCGAAAATGGGAGGAAAGTAGACTTGTGTGAATATTCGAATGCTTCAAATACTCGAACGGATATTACTGTATCCGAAATCACTTCAATTTGAATTTGAATTGTTGAAAACTTCTATGTATACAATATGAACGAATAAACACAGCGCATGAAACCTCCTGTAGAGGTGGTTTCACTGCAGCAAAGCAATGCTAAGCCATGAAAACACTTATTCAAAGAAAATCCTCACTGCCGTGAAGCCCCACTTCCAGGTTAAATGAACATATTAGGTACCCTCGCATCGATACATCATTTTTTTTTTATTTGAAAGCTTGTTCATCCGGCTTATATGCTCTAATTAAAGTAAACCTTAAAACAACATACTTTACACTGCATCACTTGCATTCTACCGAAAGTCAAATTCAAAGTTGTTTCCACTTCCTTTGAACCAAAAAGAACATCACTGAGTTGGGACGGGGCTTGTTTCAATTTTTAAGAAGACTATAGAGGCTAGTTGAGTCACGACAAAGATGCCAATTTTTTTTTATAATATGTGATGTACACTTTTCGAATTCAATTGGAAATTATTCAACCAATATCGCTACTTGCTTTGAACTTAAAATTTATTATTCGCACAAGTCTAGAGGGAAGGCATAAAAAGCTGTGCTTTAAAACTAAAGGCTTGACAAAGAAATTGAAAAGTTACCTCAGCTTCTTTCCTTTTGTTGGCCAGCTCGAGGTCATCAAGCTTCCGCTTGAGGCTCTGTACTTGCTGCTCTTTTTCCGTCAGCACGTCCTCTTGCTTTGTGATGACCTCTGACCTGCGGAGAGCCAAGGACATACGACGTGTCACAGGCGAATTCAGGGCATGGAAGCGTGTTCTTTTCTTCTTTATTGACCATTCTGCCTATGCGAAATGACAGCATAAGCACCAAACCATTAAGAGCAACTGCCAATCCAAAGTTTAAATGCACGAAACACTTCCTTGATAACACGCTGCACATGCTATAGACATGTCGTGCAACAGCATCAGAGCATGGACCTTTACGCCAGCCTCTAGAACCAAATTTTGCACATCGCAGTCTGTGATATGGGTTCACTTACACATTCAAACAGGCTTGTGACCTCAATCTGCGAACTGAAACGTATACTGCCTCATAATCCTCGAAATCCTGTCGGAAATAATTCAATTCAATATGTGCCGAAGAAACTCGGTAAGTGGCAGCTTGCATTCGAGGCTGTCTAGTAATGTGAATAGTGAACATGGGCAACTGCTTTGTCTCTGACAGCACTTCACCGTAATATATTCACTCTACTGAGAGTGTATCAGAGACGATGTAGGATGGCTATCATGTAGCTTCTGCGTTCCCGCTCTACCTGCACACATGCTCTTCGAATACGCGGCCTTTCAGTGCGATTGCGCACGTACGCGTGGACAAGCAGCGGCGGCCTCAGTAACGACAGAGCACGCCATGCTCAGGTCAGCCAATGGCTGTTACAAGTGATTTTTGAGCTTGTAGTGTCATTTGCCGAGAGAAGAGAGCAATTTTTATCAGACTTTAGTATTTATTGTGAATCGCAGGCCACATGCTGCACTATAGTATTTGCCTCGTGTGTTCTCGGTAGCCTCTACTACCGATCAGCAGTTTTTTCTGACCATGCTCAATAAGTGTTGCAGGGCCCCTTTAAACTTAAGAAAGGCTTCGCGACAAGGCGAATTTCCCCTGAATGGGTGCTTTCACAGCTTAGCTCGCCTACACTAACCTTAAACCAACTTTACAGGTGATTACAGGCGAATTCATATACACCTATTCGTTCATTGCGAATACTTCAAAATTTTCAATAATTTAAATTTGAATCATAGCGAATTCGAATAATATACTATTCGTTCAAATATTATAAGCATTCAAATATTCACACAAGCCCATGAAAGTCAAATCCTGCCACTAATCAAAGTTGTTGCCACTTCCATTGAAGCAAGAAAAATGGCATTTGCACAGGCCTCGCTTATATATATATATATATATTTTAAAATTGAGCAGGTAAGTTAGATGACAAATATGTCCATTTTTCTTAATAATATGTGTAACGTACCATTCGAATCTGATTCAAAATTATTCGACCAAAATCACTATTCACTTTGAGTTAGTTTTGAACCTATAATTCGCTATTCGCATAGGCCTAAAATTTCCTTTATAAAATGTGCTCTTTCTCCATGCTAATTTAAGGGTTGATCTACGTTCGTGACTTACAATTATGTAAATACGGTAGCACAAGGGTATCTACACCATCTTTCACCCTCAGGAGTACTCTCAAACCTCAATATGACAATACAAATATAACAAAGTAAATGGAAAATTCTTTTGCCATATAAACGGTGTTAAGTATAACCTTTTATAACAAATTCTTCGATATAACGAACTTATTTTCTTGCTAGATGCAACTTTGTTATAACGAGGTTGGAGTGTAGCAAGAAAGGCTTCCTCCTCTGTGCATACCTGAGCCGTAGTTTTGCGTGATTGGCCCTAAGCTCGGCCTGAAGACGCTTGATGATCTCGTTGCCCTTGAGGATGTCGTCCGAAAGAGTCTTGACGGCCGCCTCTCGTCGACCGAGCTGGGCCTGCCGCTGCTCCAAGAGCGCCTCTACCTGCCGCTGCACAGTTTCGGCACCAACAGACGCACAGTGCTATACAGGGTGTTTAAAAAAATGAGTTCAATATTATTGAAAGGTAACAGAAAGGAGGTACCTGCATGTTACCAGTGGCATTCCTTTTACTGTGGAAGAGGGCCATCTTCAGACTACAAACATTAATATGGTAGTAATTACAGAAACTAAAGCAATTAACTTTTCAACGAGTGCAAATAGGCAGTCAAGTCAACTGAGCGAATTGAAGTCCTTCCTGTGAATAGTCCACAGCTGCTTTGAAATTTTTGAAAGTGGGCCACTGGCAATCATCGTGGAACGTTGAAATCTGATTAATTTAGCTGCCGAAACTAAAACAGACCCAGCAAAGAACGCATCTGCAATTCACTTCGAAAAAGCCCTCCATGACGACACTGCTTCCCTTGCATCAGAGGAGGAGGAGGATTAGTGAGTGTCGATAAGCGGCCATGCGGCAGGAAAATGTTGCCACAAATCAAAAATCTAGATGACGATGGTCTAGATTGATGGTTTATAACGCGAGGGAAACAGTGTCATCATTGAGCGATTTTTCGAAATGAATGATATGTGCCTTTATCCATGCATCAGTTTTGGTTTTGCCAGCTAAAACAGACAGATTTCATCGTTCCACAGTGATTACCAGTGGCCAACCATCATAAATTTCAAAGCAGCTATGGACTACTCATAAGATGAACTTGAATTTGCCCAGTTGACTCAACTGCCTGTTTCCACTGGTTAAAAAGTTAATTGTCTGAATTTCTATAATTACTGCCGTGATTAATGTTTGTAGGCAATCTGAAGGTACCCTTTGCTACAGTAAAGATAATGCCGCAGGTGGCACGCAGATACATCCTTTCTGTGATTTTTTTATTATATTGGACAGATTTCTTAAAACACCTTGTACAATTATACTCAAACACAATGCTAGACTAACTTTTTTATATGCAGCATTTGTACAGGGCACACAGGTTTTGACCCGATATCAGCAAAAGACATTTAAGATTTACAGACTTCATTGCATTAGTTCACCACATCTGGCTTGGCGTTTCAGCAGGACAGGACAGCCATACTGATAGATACTCAAGAGACTACACAAGCACACATTTGAGGGGAAAACTGTAGGAAAGGCGAGCTCATGTGCTAGTAATGGTCAAGAGTTTCAGAGCAACTGCACAGAATAGGCAGGCAATAAGACTGTCCTTACGGCCTACTCACCTTCTTCTGCTCACAGTTGTCGAGAAGCTGCTTCGTTTCAGCCAGAAGTTGAGACTTCTGTGACAGCTCGGCCTCCAACTTGTCGACCTGAGACCTCAGGGAGGTGGCATCCTTCTCGTTGATCTGCTTGTCAGCTTCAACGGTATCTTTCTCCCTGTGAAGAGAAAAGAGATTTTTTTTTTAAATGCGAAACAGCTCATGGCAGAGTTCGATCCGGTGTGCGTAAACACCTTTACTGCGCATGCGCAACAGCTGGCCCAAGCACTGCCATAACGCACTCGCGCACTAGCACATTGCGGCCTGTGTGAGACGCTGTGGCCTCTCCCGCTTACACTCTGTCACCAATCAGTTGGGGAACGAGATTCTGCAGACTTGCAAAGAACACACATGCTCCCGTGTGGCCTGGCGATAAACCCGCGTGTTGTGCTCCAACAAGAGCTCGGGACGAGGGACAGCAACACAAACTACAGTGAATTAATGGTGTGTTCCACTTGCAAGAACACGTTGCCCATGACGAACGGAACATTAAATCAACCCACGTGTTGCTTCGCGTGCTACTCGTGATTCCCTTTAACGGGAGACAGTGTAATATTTTTTTTTTTTTTTTGCACACCACGCAAGAAATGTTTCTCTCCCCCAATCCATATCCTAAACATTCAAAGATACTTCACCGCACTTGTCAACTCTTTAGAAGAATTTTTTAATCGTTTGCCTTATTTCAGCGTCCCAATCTACTAAATGCTGGCACAAAAAAAGCGGTTTTGCATTTTCTCACTTCCTTTTACTTCTTCTTTATTATTATGTACTTTCTTGTGTGTGTAGCTGTCTGATTTCTTTAATCAATTCTTGATACTCAATACAACTGACTGCTGAAAGATTGTATGACCGAAATGTACAATTTGTTCATTCGTTTTAATATGCACACAATCATACCATTATATCAGAAAACACCCTGTGATGACCTTTGTTTGCCAAAGTCATTTAGAAAATAGTGAAACACTCATGATAAGTTCAGCTTTCTACAAGTCCAAAAAATATGGTCGCGTGCGGTGAGCTGAAGCCCCCATAACATTTTAAAAATCTATGCCGACCAGCAATGGGCCGTCCAGCAGGGCCACGAAGCGGCCGCCAGGTACTCCCTGTCGGTCCCTACGTGGGAGACCCCCGCTACGCGCTAAGCGCGTCCTGCAGGACTGAAATAAAGTTTTTTCATTCCATTTCATTCCATGGTATTTGGTGCAGGAATACCAAGGTGGTGTCTTCACCGGCATTTCCTTTCACGCATTTTTTCGCTTACCAAGCGTCGCCTCGCGGTGAGAGTAGTGTTTCCAGGATTATGGAATTGTACTTTAACTAAAACACAAAACAGTTTTTTTCTCTTTAGTGTCTCTTCAATGCATTGGGCTGGGTAGAAAGCACATTTTTAGAACCACTACAGCCTCGGCGGACATGGCCACATGCTGCCCACCTTGAAAGCACTTCAGCCGTTCGCTGGCACTGTCCCACTGCTGCTTCCAGCGCCGTCACCTTCAATGACAGCTCTCGGCACAGTTGCTCAGACTTGGACAACTTTTCCTGTAGGTCCTGAAAGACACGAGAGGCGAGGTGCGGTAAAACCACAGCTAGATTTGAAATGTGTCCACTTACACGCGACGGGGCAAGTGACACTGCGCGACCTGCAGGCTCAGGGAAGAACGTTTCAGCGAATGCCCCGCATCAAGTGATTTGCTGCCGGCACAACCCGAATCCTGCCATGTATGCACTCCTTGTTATCTATGTGAGCCTCTTACATTCGCCAGCTGCCTCACCCTCGGTCTATTACAATTGTAGTGAAGAAGAGAAAGAAGATGCACTCGGGCGTCAGTTGCTGTGCGCGAGATTTTCGTTCGTGTCGGACTGGCGCTACCCCGACTGCAAAGTTGTCACTGTTTCCTGAATAAATCGTCTTACAGTACACTCTCAGTAAATGGAACTTGAAGAAACCGCAAAAGTATGTTCCATTTTAAAGAAGTTCTGTTTAAGGTGAACATGAGTGCAGAATACTAGCCAAACAACCAAGCATTCCAGAGGCAATAGTTCCGTTAAAGCAATAGTTCCGTTTAACAGATTTCTGTTTACTGAGAGTCTACTGTACAACATTTGGTGGAGGTGCTGCGTGACTGCCTCGTCCTACGACACAACTGATGTCTCTAATAAATGTAATGAATGAAAATGCCAATTGCTTTCCCGGTATTTTGTAGTGAAAGTCATCATCATAGTCACTTCAGGCCTCCCTGTCATCCTTTCCTTTTTATTCACTCGTGTTTGTGATGTGATGACTACTAGAGCTAGTACTACTACCTACTATGATGATGATGATGATGGCACAGGGCAGACAAAGATACTCCATCGTGAAAAGGTCCTCACTTTGTTCAACGTCTCTTTGATGGAGACGTCGGCCTCCAGGACCTGGATCTGCTTCTTGAGCCTCTGCTCCGTCTCCCGGTGCTCCAAGTCCGAGCGAAACTGCTGCTCCGAACTGGCCTGCAGCAGCACGTTTAAAGAAACAGCTTTGAATTCAATCAGCACTTTAGAAGACGGAATAAGACGGCAAGCACCACACTAGATTAGTGTTGCAGAAATTTGACAGAATCGGGAAGACTCAACGACGCACTTTTCGAAAACAACACAGATAAGGCCAACTGTTGCCTTCTTCATTTTTAGTGGACCAGTAGTGAGTAGTAAGATTTATTCCATTTCTGTGGCAAATACCCATTTATGATGGTGATAGTTCTTGGTAAGCCACAAAGACAAATTATGGCTAGCTCAAACAGCTTCATTGTTACAATAGAATAGATTTCTGGAAACTACAACCACATCAGCAGCACAGCCCCTCTCCGTCAGTCATTCTTTTTCGGAAGTTATCTGCCTACAAGTGGCAAAAAGTGTTGTGCTCAACTACAACATCGCTTCGGTATGTAGCAGGACCACAGAAGATGTCAATACAGCATAACCTCCTTACAACAGACCTCCATAGTAAAAAAAAAAAATTTCAAACACAGCCATTTTTACCTTGCGTACATTCTCCTTCTCTGCTGCCAACTCGCGCTCGTGCTGCTCTCGCAACGACGCAAGCTGGGAGGCGTGGAGAGAGTGAATACGGTCCAGCTCGCGTGACCGCTCCGTCGCCATCTCCTGGTACTGCCGCAGGCGCGAGTGGAAGTCCGTTTCAGAGCTCCGCAGTGCGGCCTCCAGCCGCCTGTTCTCGTCCTGCAACGTGGCTCGGGTAAAAGTTCTGCTGGTGCAAAATTCAACACACTCGTCTTTAAAAATAAAAAGTGAAAACTGCGCAAATTAGACAAGGCGAACGAAGAAATGATAAACAGGATGAGCACTGTCCTGTGTGTTATTTCTTCTGTAGTCTAGTTTAGTTTGAGCAGTTTTTACCTTTTACCGTGCTGGACAAACTAGTCCATTGAAACACACTTCTCGGTGACAGTCATATTGCTGGTGACTAAACCAGTGTCGGAAACACGCGAAGGCAGAGACACTGCACTGGCGAATGACCAATTGAGGGTGCAATGATGACACAAAGCCCAAAACAGGCTTATTAAGAGTGCAGTGTTCACAAATGAAGTAATGCTGGCTCCATTAGACATTTACTTCACACTAATTCCAGAACCCCTGCTAATAAATCTTGAAGATGATACCTAGAAAATTCCAGCCTGTTTCGCTCTATGAAGACCACTGGGCAGCTGCCATCCCTTCCTTCCAGCATTACATTTCTGACCTAAGTTTCCACAAAGTTATCACAAAAAAACTTTTTTGTTGTTTCTTTGTACTTCAAGTTCAGCTATGTGAATCCCATGCAACGATATTCTTATTCATCACTACGGGTGAACGCTACGGTAGTTTTCCTATATGGCTGTAGCCTATACCACCCACCCACTTGCTCAAATTGCATCATGTGACTTTTATGATGGCGACCTCGTATAAACACGACTAAGGGCCATGCTCATATAAGGGCCGCTTCCATCAAGCTGGCAGTCCAATTTGGAAAAAGAAAACGAAATCTCGCCAGCAAAACAGCAGTGTTGTCGCAACTAACAAGGGCTGGCCTGTTCAAATTTTAGACGCGTGGCGTGCGGTGTCTACAGACATTGTTATAAAGAGTTGTAAGGTCACCAGGATTTCCAATGCCATGGACGGCACTGACGACAATTGGATACATGAATGTGCGAATGACCCGAGCAGCAGCAATGAGTTGAGCCTGAGTAACGATACCGATGAAGACATCTACGAAGGAGTCCGCAGCTAGATGCCAGATATCCCATCGTTAGGCAATAAGCATTGTTAAACGTGAAAGTGTCAGTCAGCGCCTCCTTTTGGCATTGCAGCGAGTGTCCATTGACAATGACAACAGGTGGTGCTGAATGATGACCCCACGTTTGAATGCACATATATACCATATAAAGTGGACGGGGGGGAATGACCGCTGCCGTAGCTCAGTGGTAAAACATCGGACGTGTTATTTGAAAGTAACAGGTTGTGCCATCTCGATGTTGACAGCGCCACGCTCTTGGAGTGAACGGACACAGCCGACGCAGTCGGACCGAACCAAACAACCCACATTTATTTAACTCCTTTAGATTGACGATATCGTCAGCCGAATTATTATACATCAATTGTTATCAACACACTAAGACATCCTTACGCAATATTAAACAACACTCAACAACATAACAAACCAGCTCTTTGTTCCCTTTCCTTGAAGGGGCTTGCAACACTTTTTGAGCATGATCAGAACACGCTGCCAATTAGTAGTTGAAACAGGCCGAGAGCACGAGAGCCAAATATTACAGCGCAGCGCACCCCTGGCCCGAGGTTCACAATAAATTCTCAAACTCAACTAAAATTACTTCTCTTCTCTCGACAAATCATGCTTCTTCCCTCGACAAATCATGCTCAAGCTAAAAATTCACTCATCAGAGCCATTGGCAGATTTGAGCTCAGCACACTAAGTTGTTAATTGGGCCGCCACAAGAGACCGAGACTTGGTCATGTGGTCGCACTGAAAAAGCCGCTTATTCAAAGATGAAAAAACAGAGAGAGAGAAAAAGTGCTCAAGGTCAAGAGATGTGCGTGATGCATTCTCTACCGCCCTGCCATCCTTTCTTGCTTAGCTTCCAGCCCTTTCGTAGGGATGAGAGAAGACAGAATGCAATTGCAGAGTGCGACAAATTTTTGGAACTCCGCTCACACTGAGCGGATTCTAAAAATTTTTGAAGCAGTGAATTCGTGAGGCAATAGGCTACCTTAGTGAATTCATCTCATGGCTAATTGAAAAAGTATAGCAGGGCCATTTTATAGGAGCCCTGCAACACTTTTCAAAGTAACAATGGAATGGTTTTGTTAAAGGAGTTCATTGTTCCCCCGAGTCGACCGCCGCAAACATTTAAAAAATTTTTCGAGGACAAGCGCAGTCAAGAGATTTGTCGCACACTGCAACTGCTTTCTCTCTTCTCTTATCCTGACCAGTGTTCTGGAAGCTAAACAGGGAGGGACAGCATGAGGGAAAAAAGCTACATCACACATGTGTCATAACATTGAATACTTTTTTTCTTCCTTTGAACGTGCTGCTTACTTTCATTGCGATAGCAAGCACAAGCAAGTAGTGGCCTCCTGCAGTGGCCCCAGTAACTAAGCAGCTGGAAATCTCAAATCAATCAATTGGCGCGAGCTTAGGGATATGGTGCTGTTATTTAGGTATATGACATCATTTGTAGAAAGAAGGGGGAAGGATTCCTAGCCGACTTTGAAAACTAACTGCGAATCCCCGGCCATGTGCTAGGCTCTAATATTTGGCTCGAGTGTCCACAGAAGCTTCGACTAACAATCAGCAGCGTTTTCCGACCATACTGAAAATGCATTGCAGGGCCTCCTTTGAGGCGGGCAGCGAGTAAGCACAACTTTACACGAGCATGCACACAAGACGGAAGTGCGGCAAGGGAGAGTGAAGCCGTTTGAACCTTTTGCTCATCCTTAGTGCAAAGCTCGAGCAGATCAATGAACTTCTGCGGGAACGCCAGGAAATCCACCAGGAGACCCTGCTGAGCCTTGAGGCTGTGGGATGCAAGAAGTGTTGTGAGGAACGAAAAGAACCAGAGGCACATGGCATGCCTTTTTTTTATGTGGCACATTAAAATCAAGTTTTCTTAGTCAGGACTGACACTGGTGTTCGAACAATTTTACAGCCAGGACCACGCAAAGGAATTGAAGAACAGTTGGACCTTGTTATAACAAATAATCAGTTACAGCAAAGCTTGGCTGACCGTGCTCAATTTCAATGACATTTGTTATTTTTACAACAAAACCGATGATACAAGCACCAGCGCAACGTCAGCTGTAATGAAGATATATTTGCTTTGTGCAAGAATCATAACTCGGAAGGTTGCAGAAAAAGCAAAACAAATAATGAAATGCGACTGACGAGAAAATTTTAAAAATAAAATTAAAAATTTGGTTATAATGCGGTCCCATCTTTCTTCCAGTAAATGTGAATGCACACCTGTTTTGTCAAATTAACTTTATTCGGTTGTAATTTCAGCTGCTCATTAACTAGTAAGGATTACCTCATTTATAGTGGGTTTGTAGCACAGACTAACTTATTTTTCTATCTGGGAATCACGCATGAGCTAGATTGCCAGCTTTTTGGTGCTAATTTATATTGATACAACTAATATCTTATATAACAAACTAAATTATGATCCTCATGCTTCTTGGTTATCACAAGGTTTGCCTGAACAAACAATGCTAAAATTCCTTTGTCATTTACTATACAAAACTCCATTTTTGTATCACACTTATTGTATCTAGTGACACAATACCGAGGAGTACTACTGAAGTTACTTCTGTGGAAATCTTGATGCACTGTTGTTGGTTTTCATGTACTGCTGATTAACACAAAACAAAAATTCATTTGACCTTCTTGTACCTGACATTTTTTAGTTTCAATATAGCAGCAGAAAATTAGGAAAAATAATGCACACCCAACATGTCTTCAGATTCACTTTGTTATATTAGATAAGTCAGCACATCAAGGTTTGACTACCCAATACACAAACCAGACTGAAAACCCTGAATTGTCAAGGAGACCTAAAAGGAGACAGAATAATGTCGGAAACTCGCCTCTGGAAGTCGTCCTCAGTGAGAGTGAGCGTGTAGAAGAAAAACGGGTCTGCATCATCGGTGAGTTGAATGTGGAGCTCCTAACGACAGAAAGCAAATGGGCAGAATATTAGTGCTAACTTCGCTAACACAGTGCAGAGTCGCCTGTGAAATTCCATTTTCTCACCTTATTGTGCTTATGCATCCGAGGTTACAATTCTTTGTATGCAAGTGTAAAATATTGCCCTCCTCATCACATGCCATTGCTGGACTCGGAGACATTGTCATAATTACCATAGATCACAAGACTCCAAGTCAAGACGTGCATTCTCATACTGTTTTGCCTTTTGAGTTTGCACATAACTTGAATAGACAACCTACTGACCACTGATGTTTCACAGCACACTCACAGGTGTTGAAATAGTGATAAAATAAGGCAATCAATTGAAATGAATTGGTTCCACCACAGTGGTGGTGTAGTGGCTACGGTGCTCCAATGCTGTCGCGGGTTCGCTCCGAGCCGTGGCGGCCATATTTTGATCGAGCTGAGATGTTAGAGGCCAGTGTACCGTCCGATGTCAGTCCACGTAAAAGCCCACCAGGTGGTCGAAATTCACGGAGCCCTCCACTATGGCATCTCCCATAACTGTATCGTGGTTTTGGGATGTCAAATGTCAGACATTATTAAAAGTATATACACATGGAGCCTGTGGAAGTTTTATTTGTAGTTATAACATCTCTCATAACTGTATCATGGTTTTGGGATGTCAAATCACAGATATTATTAAAAGTATATATACATGGAGCCTGTGGGAGTGTTATAGTTTTTAATGCTAGCATACTAAACGTGAGAAAAGGAAGTTAATCTGAAGTCGCAAGAAATCTGCTTTGTGCATTTCTTGGCTTCAATATCTGTTGTCTCCACAAATTTGTGCTCGGTCTAAACATACGATAATTTATTCATGAGGACAGTTGAATCAGTTACATCTTGCAGGGTTCACGTCTATCCTGAATGCACTTGGGAGTTTTGTTTCTTTTTCCAATTCTGCACTGTATCTTTTCAGAGCATAAAGAGGCCACAAAGCTTTTTTTTTACCTACTGTTTACAGTTTATTGTTCATTGTTTATTATTTAATGTTTACAGCTTATTGGTTCTCACCTTTCGGCCAATGATCGACGAGCTGCTCCTCCGTATGGCGAGGCACACTGACGGAACTCTAAAATGCAATCAAACGAACAATGCGAACGATTAAATCCGGCCCGGTGTAAACATTTGTGCCGTCTCGGCCACATCACAAAATCATCACAAAATGACAAACCACGTTCTATTGCGAGGGGGGCCCTCCCTGCCACATGTAAAGCACACAACGTGAACAACTCGAAGTATGCAAATGTTTTCACATTCCGGTTACCAACGTACGAACGCCTTCAGCATTTACCGCTGTAAAGTGAAAGATTGAAAGAGTTGCCCGGCAGTTACTGGCCACGAGCCTATCGTACAAGAAACAAACGCGATCGCAAACGGTGTCCCGTTTCGACACCATTACTCGCAAAATTGTACCAAACGTTCTCTCCGTGACCGCTTCTGAAAACTATCCCTTAGACTCCGCTGAAATGGTTGGCGGGCCAAGCAAGGGGCTGTGAATTGTACATGCGTCTGGCATTCCGACCTGCAATCAAGCAGCTGTTGTACGTCGATACATGACAGTTTTTAAGTATGTGCTCCAACAAGCCTCGTGTGTAAAACACTAAGCTTCGGAGTCTTGGGGAGAACACATATGCGAAAAGCCGGGACTTATTTACAACGACTTTCGCGCGCTGGCGCGGCAAACAAGCAACCGCCGATCGCGCGCTAAACTCACCGACGAGATGTGGCGCAGTAGTCGTCCTTCAGTTGCACGCTCAGCGTTTGACAGTAGAGGCTCTCATCTCGACTCGGCTCGTCTGCGCTGTCCAACCTCCTGTACTGCGAGTCCAGGATCATCTCGGTCTGACGAAAGAAGCAGGAAACGAAACGAGGGCCGACATCAATGTGCGATCGCGAGGCTCAAGCGCCGACACTGTGTGTGACGGCAAAATCGAAGTGCTCCTCGCAGACCACGTTACGAATTTTGCTGTACATCGAAGAAAACGTTCTTCGACTTGATTTCAAGCACATTTAAGTGCGAGTGTCACCGAAATGTGGTCAAACAGTACGCACCGTGTTGACAACGCCATCGAGCACATTGAAAAATGCAACGCTTTCATCTGATTGGGTCTACCACTCGGATTGTTCGCCGCCTTTTAGTCGGCCGTCAGCGGCTTGTACGGTTGATGTGGTTACTTTGCAACGTTACTAGATCCTGCAGGATCTAGTAACGTTGGTTACTTTGCGCATGATTGTTTTTTTACATAACAAAACGTTAACGCAAAAAAAACATTTTGTAATTTAGAACTTTTATTATATCGTTTGTGTAAGAGTTAGGATCTTGATTTTATTGATTATAAAATGTGACGTTTGCGACACTACGGTTTGTGTCAAAATTTAAAAGGCGGGAATTTAGAACAAGTGCAAGTACTACTAGCGAACATTCAGAAATTTCTGTACTTGTCCACGAAAATGGTTAAATTCTTCAACGCGCAAGTAAGATGACGTTTGAATGCGCGTCTCAACCCAGTCATTTCACAAGCAAAATAATGTAATAGACCAATGTGATTGAAAAGAAAACGCTCGAAAAAGCAACTGAACAGCATGCATATGTCCAGCGTCGCAAACACTCTTGTGGCTACCCAGTATGATTCGTGAAGCAGCCAGGATGTGAAAAACCGGGCCCGTACCCCTCCCTTTCCCCCCAACTACATTTTTGGCATGGTCTACCAATAACCAGGAGCATAGCCAGAATTTTTTTTGTGTGTGTAAGGAAAGGGGGGAGGGTAAACTATACTCTTGCACGTCCGTGCATGTGTTTGTATGTGTGCGAGTATATATAAGCAAACTAAATTCGAAAACTTCAGAGGGTGGGGGGTAGTGGAACCCCACTCCCTGGCTACGCTACCGCCGAGCACAAAATGACACAAGAGAACATTTCGCTGCCCGGCCCCCTCTTCAGATCAAAGGAGGTAAACCCCCAAAAATTTCTGCATTTCGGAAATTTCTGTCTATGCCCCCTAGTGTGGTAACAACAAACCAAATTAAAGAACCCCTTGCAGCTGGAAATTCAAGTTTGTAAAAGTTCTCGCAACTGATCTTTTAAACTTTTGGCATATAAAAACAAACGATGCAAAGATTCACTTTCATTTCAATGAAGGCATTAAGATGACTGAGCAAGACCACACCTGTAAAAGTTGAAGGTTCAGTTCAGGGCTCGACATCGTAGTTCGGTAATTGATATTTCACCATTGGTTCTATAAAGCATATTAGCACCAGGAAGCACAATGGTAGACGAAGATGTAGCAGCTAACGTTATCGAGCATGACAAACATTTCTTCTAATCACTCCGCGAAGACAAACGGCGTATTTTTAATGTCTTCCGGACACGTTTCTCGTCTGTTGAGTTCTGTATGTGACGTGACTCTACTGATGGTGCAAGGAAGGCGCTGTCGTCTGCGTACACGTGCACTTGCTCGCCCTGTTGTATAGGGATAGTAAAATATTGAACAGCAATGACTACAATATAAACTGACCCTTGGATGAGACCTGCGCATCGCTTGGCCGGTTCGACAGTTCTGCTTCTTCTGCTTGCAGGATGATGATGATCATGATGATGCTCCTTGGGTGATTGGTTAAATGACGATGATGACGATGATGATGATGAAGAGAAGAAGAAGAACTCAAATGGATGGCGCTCACCCACAAAGGGGATGGGCCAAAAACCGCGGGTGGCAAGATGCTTATAGTAACAAAACTAAAACCAATCTTAAAATATTAGCTGAGAGATAAAACTGAGGATAAACAATGATTACTGAATAAGTGTTCAAAAACCTTTTCTGCTGCCTGATTGAAATAACTACGAATTACAGGCTAAGAATCTGAATAAGTCAGAATAGACTAACACGGTAATCTTTTTGTTACTTTGATGTCATCAAACACAGTAGAGCATACATCCCTGTGGCAGTAACCTAACGAAGTTCCGCTAAGTGATAAAATTACTGTAACATTACTGTAGCATGCATGGCTATACTATACCCTCTTCCATTCCTTCCTCTCCTCCTGATGCTCCCTTCCCGTTCTAACCCCTGTTATACTTCACAAAACTATGCTAGTATTTACGCTCTCCTTTCTATTACCTCACATCAGTCTCTCTCAGGGACCCAACCAAGAGGGGGAGTGGGTTGGGCGCACGACCCTCATAACACAGGTTATGAGTGAACATTGGGGTGTCATGGACATAGGCTTGCGCAGGGTTCCCATTCAGGGGGGGGGGGGCGAAGGTTCGTCACAGTGCCCCCCCCCTATCATGTCAATGTATGGGGCTGCCATTTGAGTGACTGAATAAAGGTAGCATGTAAGATAACAAGTAGCATGTAAGGAATAAAGGTAGCGTGTAAGATAACACGTGATGTTATAATTTTCTGAGTGCTGTGCTTGCGGTGTGTTTCTGCTTTGCTGCCAGGGTGGCACGACCTAGTCAGGCTTTTACTTAGCCTTTAGTCGTGTCCCCCAAGGCAATCTTGTTCAATTTTGCCTTGAATAAAAGCAAACCAAACAAAACCATATACAGTAGTTATAGGTGACATTGCGCCCCCCCCCCCTCCCTATCATGTCAAAGTATGGGGTTGGCTTTGCGCCCTACCTGTCGCTCCCTGCTCGCCCCCCCCCCCCCTCCCGCCGTTCGCGCGCCTATGGTCGCGGCTTGTGAATGTGGCGAGAAGGCAAGAAGTGTGGCAGCTTGGGCTAGTTGGTATGGCATGACGATAGTTATAGCGCGAGAACAAAACGACGACACGCTCGTGCCTTTCGTGTCCTTCTTGTCTCTGTGTCGTCGTTTTGTTCTCGCGCTATAACTATCGAGGAGGCAAGGTTGGGCACATTTCAACAAAAGAACACTTTGGTGAGGATTCAGGTTTCTTCGTGAAATATTAGCAAGAGCTACGTTCACTTTTACTAACCAGCTGAGATTGAAAAAGAGACATAATGAGCATGGAAATCTGGTTCGCTTTTTAAATATGGCATCACCTACTTGCGACTGTTTCAGCGATCAGGGTCGACGTTACAAAAATCTGCATCCTAAGTTCTTGAACAAAAAATGGCAAATATTTGCTTTCTTCTGCGGTTTCCGATGGATTTCAATAATTGCATTAAGGCAAGGCTGTAAGCAGAAATATATTTCGCGGGGGGGGGGGGGGCAGCTCTTCGATCTAAAATGGGAGCCCGGCTGGCAAATGGTTACTTTGAGTTGTTTATGCACGGCGAAAAGAAAAAAAAATTGCCCGCAGCTTCCCTCGGGGGAACACTGAGGAGGATGCGGACCATATAATTGGTTAACGGGGTGTTAAAGTGCGACTTACTTGGGTCGATGGCTAAATTGGTTAACGTGGTTGTGAAATGGGGTGTTAAATTGCGACTTACTTGGGTCGATGGCTAAATTGGTTAACGTGGTTGTAGGAGGGGGTGTTAAATGAGTGAACACGTACACACGTATGCGAAAGGGCGGCGCTGGTCGAAGGGACGTCGATCATTGTGTTTGTGGATTCGTTGGAATTCATTTCACCGCGACCTTGGACGTCGACGCGCCGTACAAACCAACCGACGAGCGGCAACTGAGCGAGCGAGCGCCGACCTTGAGTATATATACAGCACGACGGCGCATGCACTGTGAGCTGTTGAATGTTCTCGAAGCGCGACGCCACATGCGCGTCCACTGGAGAATCAGGAGAATTGTAGATGTCGAACGCGGTGTGTAGATGAGGAAGGGTGCACAGATGGTGGAGGAGTGAAGCGCGCGCGGTGTGTAGAGGAGGAAGGGATGCACAGATGGTGGAAGAGTGGGCGACGGCGCGACGGCGCATGCGCGCGCGTCAGCTGTCGAATGTTCGAGAAGCGGTGCGGACGGCGCGGACGGCGCACTACAAGGCGCGAGTATAAGATGCTCCGCATCTAAAAAATCCGCGGTGGTGGGCAGAGTCACGGGCCCGAAGTGCCACCCCCAGGGTACACCACTGCATTTAGGAGAATGCAGCCCAGCCAGACCTGCCATTGGCCGATTGGCTGAAAATTTTTTCAAGATCCTGGAAGCCACGCGTCGGTACAAATAAAAATTTGCTACGGTGGCACTATTTCAAAACGCAGTTTAGCTGATGCAACTCCCAATTTCCTTGGGTAAGAGCGTGTGCTATGCGAAGGAAACCTAGGACGCTGCAAATATGCATACTTAAAATTCGGCATGTTCCTCGTGAATACAAAATTTTCTAAATCATGCGATAGTGCCATGGTAGGGTGGCCACCCTAGCCATGGGAAGAGAATCTTAGGATCCAAGGGGCGCTATTCTGAACTTTACAGATTCTCGCCATAACGTTGTCGGAGTCATTCGTAAACTCTGATTGGCCCAAAGCAAATGGCCCAGAGGGCTACCACGGACTCTCTGATTGGCTAAAGATGCCGCCATTGTGGAACTTGACAATATCCGGAATAGCCCCACACAGTAAAATTTTATTCTCAACGCTTTGTCGGCGCTAAAACCAGCGACGAATGCACGTCAAAGTCCGGAAAAGTAGCCAAAGAAAGGCTTACCTACCGCTTTCGTTAAAAAACGCGCACGAACGAAATTGTCGTGTTCACGTAGGCTTATAATTTTTCAACATTTCAAGTTCACAGCTCCGATTACTCGTCTTGTCTTGTCTCCTAGGAGATCTTGGCTCATACCCACATGGGAGATTGGCTACACTGTACTTCATAATAGATCATTTTTTACAACGCTTGCTAAAAAATAATAAAAAATAAAGAGAAATTAGATAGGAACAATAATAATGTTCCTTTGAAAAAACGTGAAAAATTGCAGAAGAATGCGATAAACCAGAATATATAAAACAAATTAACAAGAATGAGGAAAGGGTAGAAAGAATTGGATTACTCGTACTTAAACAGCCATTCCGGTTTCGTCGTTCTCTTTTGCCGCCAATATAAAACGGCGGGCATGCATGCAAGCGCCAATAAATGAGGGGACTTAGTTCCATATCCTTAAATATCACCGTCATATGACGGAGCCAGGGGGGGGGGGGGCACGTCGTGCCCCCCCCCCTTCCCCTCCGAAAAGAAACCATGCCGACGCTCCTGCATGTAACCCATCTGGCATTCTGACAG